TTTTGTCACTCCATCACCACAACCGACACCTCCAGTGTTCTGGGGCTTGAGTGGTGTGGGCTGGAGTCCACTTCCAGACCCCTAAGGCAACACTTGCTGCCCACACCCAGAAATGAGCCTTCAAACTGGGCCTCTCTTGCTGCTTTGTTTCTGCAGATGGGTCTCCATACTTGGAGTTTTTTTTAGCTTTGTTTTAGTTTGTTACTCTCCCTCTTGAGACTGCGAGTGTTGAATCGCATTACTCTAACACATTCATACATGCTAAAAATGACATCACATGGTAATTACCAACTGCTGAGGGCTTATCTTTTTCCTATGTGCACAGATTTGGTGGTTTCCACCCTCTCTTTCCCTCCCCTGTGCTGTGTTGAATCCTCCTTTATTCTCGCCATCTCTGAGTCTGTTGTTGTGGCTGTATCAGTCCATCTCAGCGCCTGTTATATTTAGAGCCAGTGCACTATCAGAGCTTACAGCTGGCCGCCTGTGATTCAATTCTGACAGATCTACAGCATTCAAAGCAATCTTCTCTCATTTTGTCTGGCTTTTTTTCCACCCTATCTCCACCCCCTCTTTTTTTCCTTCTTCACTCGCCTCCTTTATCAACCTCAGATTTCTCATACTCTATTTTTTATTTCACTTTCACCTTATTTCAAACCAATCCTAGTGTTTTCTTTAGCCCATTCCTCCTTATTTGTTTACATTTTTCACATACCTGTATCACTACATTTCAGCTCGAACTCTTGTACGATCCGTATCTCTCCTCATTTTTACCATTATCTCACCCTTGAAAGCTTGGAAATGTCTTTTCGAAAAGACTTTCTTTTTCCTTCTTTTTACTGTAATTTGAAAAATCCTTGGTGCTATCAAGAAAATCTTCTGTCCTCAGCTCACTTTAGCTTCATTTCCCCTTAAATTACTTCACATCTTGCTGATCAGGCACACTCTTCACTTGCAAGGAGGAGGAATGTGCTTCATCGCTTGGTGCAAATCCAAACTGAAACAAACATCGCACAACACAACTTCTAATTTGGGAAGAGACAAGCAATTAGCTGCTATTACACCCTTGAATCTGAGCGCACAGGCAACCATAATCTCATTAATCATGAACAATGGGGGCGGTAATAGAAAAGCATGTTTATGCAAATTCCCCCACTCAGTAATCTCCTTCATGCGTAATAACCAAAACAGTGAGGCGCCTCAGAAAACAAACCTCCCCCTTCTTCTTTCCTCACTCCGCCTTCGGACTTGCTCTCACCTCCTTTTCTTTTTTTGTTTCCTCTTCTCATGCTCTTTTATTTATCCACCTGCTTGTGTTTTAATGACCCAGAGTGTTCAGAGTATGTGGTTACAGTATTGATCTCTGCCTAACCTTTCAGTTCAATAGCCAATAACCCTGAGATTGTTCGGGACTTTTGAGCCTCACATCCCTACTCTAGCTCTCGGCAGACTCCACAGCTCATTCCCCTTCTCCTCCATCAATTCTCTCTATTCCTACTTTTTTATGCCTTTCATTTGCATTTTTATTGTTTCATTGCATTTCTCTCTCTCTCTCCCTTTCTCCCTTCCTAAGGTGTCTGTTTACATTCATTTCTTCATCCCTCCTCCTAACTTTGCTGTATTCACTGTATTTTATGTTCTAGCCCTCAGTCCAGTTACCGTATAAGATTCAGGACTAAATATAGCCCAGAAATGTACAGAAAGGACATTATAAGATTATGCTCCTGCTTCCTGTTTCTCTTTCATCCTCCATCTCATGCTCCTATTTCTTTTCAGGCTTTTCTCTCAGCGTCTTCCTCTCTGCTTCTTTATGGCGAGGGGCAAGTTTTAGATAATCACGTCAGTACTGCATAAAGAGTGGTCCGGGGGGTAAAGGTCAACAGCATGTGATCTATTAACATATTTGTCAAATACAACATGTTCTACTGATCTAGAGGAAGATTTATTTATGGGTTGAGTCGTGGTCACAGAAATCAATAAAGACAGAAAACCAATAAACGTATGCAGATTTAGTAGTAGACTTTTTGTAGCTCCCTCAGCTTCTCCTTTTAAGCGTTTACCCTACTGATATGTTAGTCTTGGCCCTCAGTGGTGACTGCAACCTCAACGCCATTTACACCTTCAACAGACCTAGGTCCATGCAAACTCTAGAATAACAACGCTTATAAACCTACCCCTCCACTTGGCCCCTGATGACCCCCACGACCCAAACTGCCATGATTATCCAAATAGGCAGCAAGAGCCGACACATCGATGCGATGGAATGACTCAGCAGCGAGCTACCACCCTCTTTTCCATGCTAGCTTCTATACTGTCCATTATCCTCACATAAAAAACTCTTTTATTTCTTCTTTGTCTTCACTGTTAAACTTTTTTACTCCACTGGTAACTTTTTAAAGCAAAATCTTTTTTACATGGAAGCCTAAAAAACCTCTGGCGTAATACCACAGAATATTCATCCACGGTGATTTATTATTCATCAAGTGCCTATATCAGCCTGTAAACCACAGGAAATATTGAATCTTCTGTGGTAAACTTGGATTAAAGATTGATTTTTGCACACCATGTGGATCAAACTGTACCTCGAATATCTTTTGCTGATCTTGTCCTGTACATGTGTAAATAGTATTTTAAATATTTTAGTATTTACTGCTGTTTTTTTTACTGTCAGATATCAGTCACTTTGAATCCTTGCAGTAGAAAATGTGGGCATAGGCTGTTTTCACTCAGAAAATGCAGGTTTACTCAATCATTCGCTTATCGCCCTTGCAAGTTGACACCAGAGTTACACTTCAGTTGAACTAGTTATTAGTATTTGTATTAATAATTGGGTCAGAAATGCCAATCTTATGTTGCGGCTGTAGCTTTGTTTAATCAAACCTGCCATAATCCTGTTGTGCTCTGTTACTCAGATGCAGAAACAAGCACAGATGACATCCGGTAGTTCGGCCTGGTTGAGCAGTATTTTCATCTAGACAACCGAGGCAAAGCTGTAAATAGGTTGTGTGATATTACACTGGCATGTGACTGATTAACCTGAGCTATGTGAAACAAGCACACACATGTGGAAGTTAACAAGCAGCAGGCCTGAGGGCTGGTGGTGGAAGTCCTGCGGGCATTAGCACACTTACCTGTGCACTCTGTGGTCCTGTGCTTTTTTGCCCTAATTAGATTTGACAGCTGAAGATAGATAGGAGTAGTGGGAAGTAGAGAGTGTGGAATGATGTGTATCAAAGTGTTGTGTCAGGAAGTTGAACGAGCAGGTTCTGCAACAAGGACTATGTCTTCAGTACGGGGGGCAAAACCTCTGTGCTTAACCCACTGGGACAACAAAGTTACTCTTGTGCCCAAACATGACTTTTTCAATTCAAACATTTACAGAGGTCCTTAATCTCAAAGGTCTATACTTGTATCCAATCATATGATAACCATTTTACTACTAACACAGGGAGAACATGGGAGCATGAGTTAGGTGTGACTTTCGATGAAAACTGGTAGGAATCTGTACTCAAAGTCAGCCACAAAACCTCTATTTGCGCTCGCCTGACCCTGATACAGTTTAAAGTTGGAGTCAGATGTCACTATTCCAAATCAAAGTTGGTTCGAATCTTCCCAAACGTGTCAGATATCTGTGACAGATGTGGAGGCTCATCCTGTAATCTTACACACATGTTCTTTTGGTGTCCAGCTCTAACAAACTTTTGGCAAATTTACTTAGATACCACGTCTAAGGTGCTTTCAAGAACTATTCATGCTTCCCTACACACAGGCATTTTTGGCCTTCCAGAAGATTATACCTTATATTCCTCTAAAGAATTAGAAGTAATTGCCTTTACATCTTTGCTGGCAAAGCGCCACCTCCTTCTCAATTGGAAATCTATAACAGCTTCTTCAAGCACACAATGGATTTGGGAGACCATGTCTTTTTTGAAAGTAGAGAAAATCAGATACTCAACAAGAGGAAACTTGAACAAGTTCTACAACAAGTGGCGACCATTTATGGACTTTTTTTCTTTTTTTTTTACTTTACCGTATATTTTATCTGGTTCCCCCTTTTTTTTCTTTTTTTTCTTTGAGTGTTGTTTGTTCTTAGAGTTATCTAAAAAAACAAAAAACAAACCTCAAATACACATATCCAAGGGTGTATACAAATGTGTTCAATGACCACACCAATGTATGCGGATGTAAGTAGATGCCTTTGTTATTCTTGTTCACACATCAATAAAAATATTAAACATGTATGACTTTTACCCACCATAAGATCATATTTCTGTTTAAATGATAAGGATATTGGTCACATCCCCAGTTGCTACAACATACTGTAACTCACTTTGTCTGACACCTACCCTGCGGCAGTATTTACAAACGTTACATAACAGCATCACAATACCGAAGACTTCAGCATATTGAAGTTGAGCAAGCGGTTACCTCTCTTGTATTTTATAACCATATGGTTTCTGATCATTCCTTTTAATTCTGCAGCAGTTTAGCTCATCTATATCGTCAAATGTTCCCCAATGGTTTGTCTTCCCCCCCTTTTTTTGATAACAACATCAATGAAGAGGAGAAAATTGAAGTTTAGATTTACAACAGAGCGGGGAACCGAACCAGCAAACGGTACAGTTAGAGAGAAACATCCAAACTCATCACCATTATCATTACATTCACTGCCTTCACAGTTAAGTGCTGATCATAAAGGGGGCTATTAGTAAGGACACGAACGGCATTAAGCATCTTAAACAGCATTGTAAGCCTCCCTCAGCTTAATATTTGTTATTTTTACAAGGGTGTTCTCATTTCAAAGTTAAGACTTTTCAAAGACATTCAAGGAATAAGTTTGATGTTTGCCAAGGAGAAACAATAATAGAAACCCGGATCACTTTATCAGCAGATGTTGTGTATTCATGTACTATAAGTGGGAGGGGTTGAAGGAGGAGTGTGTGTGAGATCAGTGTGTGTGAGATCAGTGTGTGTTTTGCCCAGAGAAAGAAACGGAACGAGCTCACAGTGTGTTTTCTCTGCACTGTGAGGAGCTGTCTTTTGTCACTGGTGCTGAAAGTAGATTACTGCCCTGCGTCTGTGAGGGGAGAATTTGATCAGCAGGAGGGAAGATACCCAAAAGAAGAAAAAGAAAAAGCTCTGGAGATTGCTTCATTACTGGAATCCCGGAGGCGGGTGCGCATTCAGAGAAAGTTTTCTTGGAAACTTGGACTGTAAGAGCATCTCTTAACAAGCTGTAGTTGCTGTACTTGGACACAGAGTTTATTTCCCCACCACACTTCCTCTCTCTGCCTCTCTTTTCCTCTCTCACTCACTCTGACAGCTTGCCCACCTCACTTTCAAGCAGTCACTAATTTGAACACATTCAGAGGTGGGAAGGAGAGTGATGTGAAAGGAGGAGGAGTGGTGAGGCGGAGGGAAGGCGGGAGGAGATCACTGACTTCTTTTTTTCCCTCTCTTTCCACCGCAGCGGGAGGAAGGGTGCACACTCCTCCAATTCTTCCCTTTCTTGGATTCATACTCTCCACCAGAAGAACTAGGATTGATTGCTACCAGGATCAGCTGATTTGGACCTGGAGACTTTCCCGTCCTGTCCTGTGGGTCACAGTCAGTATGACGGGCTGCGCAAAGCGCTGCAAACAGGGAATCATCAAGTTTGCCTTGTCCCTGCATAAACTGGTCACTGGGACTCTCATTAAAGGTATGTTGTCAGTCCTTAAACATGTTTGTACTCGTCTGTATTGTGCAAGTGCGTGTCACACAAGTTGAAACCACTAAGAGGAGCTCTAATTGTGCGTGTCAAGTTTGTTGCAGGCAAACTACACCTTCATATAATCATCACAAAAGCAAAAGTTAAGAGTCTAGTCCTCTTCATCTTTCATCTGCAACTCTTCTTTACACTCTTTTCTGCCTCTTCTCTTGTCTGCCGTTGACCTCGTTCTGTTCGGCATGCTCTCCACGGGGAGGAGTGAAGGAGACAGAGATGAAGGGAGTGCGCAGCTAATAGAGAGGAGAGATAAAGTTGATATAAAGCAGAGGTTTTATGTGTGTGTGCGCGCTCGTGATAAATGTGAGTAATAAAGCGTGCTTGTGTGGCACAAGGGAAGAGGAGCTGTACACACTGGAGAGGAGCAGGAGCGGTTTTACTATTGTGATTCATGAGGGGGTATTTGGTGTATGTGTGTGTGTGTGTGCGCTTGGTTCAATGCCGATATGTAAGGGTGCTGCATTCCTATGTGTGCGCACAGCATTATGATCTTATTCCCATGTTTTTATTGTGGAAGCACGGACCAAGTACAGGAAATATGTACAGAGACATGCTTCAGAAACTGTATACAGCACAGCAGCAGCAGCAGCCTGAAGGCACACATACATACACACACACACATGCACACAAACACGTACACACTTACAGTATAAAGCTTTTCCAGCCAGTTGACATTTTGTCTGCAGGGATGAGAAACATCAAAAGAAGTCGGTGGCACACATACAGTAGATGAACAAAGACATGCTCAAATGCACACACACTCACACTCACACACACGCTCGCACACATGTTTTTGGATGGCTCAAGTATTCACTCACAGAGGGTAGAACTGCCCTCAAGGTCTCTCTCTCTCTCTCTCTCACTTAAGCACATGCCAATACACATTTTACATCACGAGCGAAGCTGCTGTTGAGGTTTTGTTGCGTAACAAATTACTCCTCAAAAGAGAAATTCAGCCGTAGTCTAGAAGGGAAGTGTAAGCGTTAAGTCTGTTTTTGCCACTAAAACACACAGAAGTAAAATACATCGTTGATTGAAATACACATGCGCACACGGAATTATACACACATATGTAATAACGCATGGCACTAACACATGGCAATTAAAAAACACCCCCACACACAAAGTAAGGAAATGAGCTGTGGGGATAAAGATCAGGCTCTGCGCAATATGATACACACACACACACACACACACACACACAGATAAATCAATAAACAAACACATATTCATACAAGCAAAGATTTATGTCCTCTCTTTATCAAACCTCCACAGGCAGCGAGGGCTACGTCTCCAGATTTGACAACAGCCATAGCGGAAAATGGATTTGACATAGACTGACACAAATACCTACACACTCACAACAAACACTATCCAGCTCCTGTGAGGAAGTCCCCGTCTGTATCAATTTTTACACCCCTGACAAAGTGATTCCAGATACGCTTAGTGTAAGTGTACGCTTTTCTATCTCTAAATGTGTGTAAGTCAAGTTTAGGACAAAAGTACCCCTGCCACTCATCATAAATGTTTGCCTTTGAGAAACTAAAAGGTATTTTTTTTACCTCGCAGAAATTGACACATAGAAATCATTGGTCCCTGAAACTCCTCACAGGAGCTGTTTCATGGTTCTTGGATCATGATTATGTCGTCTTGTTTCCTAATTTCTGGAGTTTTGATTGCGCGTGAAGAAAAGCTGCCAGTTCACTCTTTGATCAAATCCCTGCACACAAATGATTCGAATAACTTCCACGTTATTTTCTCTAGCAACACTTTGAGCACCTCTTTCTCTGAAATTTCCCTTTAAGTTTCCACAGGGTGCTGTGGTCCATTTTAGTTTCAGACAGGGTCCGCTGCAGTAACTGGATCACAGTAAATTGGGCAGTTATGAAGCCATTTGGAGTAAATGGCTTGAGAGTCCAATTTAATGTAGTTTTTCTGGGTCTGATTTTGTGCTAATCGCGTCTAATGGAGAGTCGTTTTCTAATGTGTGATTGTTCTGAGGATCATCTTTGCTGATAAAGGAAACTCAGATGGCAGAGATGCAGCATTACTTATGTGTCAGTGAAAGTGGGGAGTGTTCAAGTGTTTACACTGTCTTGTCAGAGCCCCATAGCAAGATCATACACTTCCCATACTTCAACTTGGGAGCATCTTTCATTAGTCTTTCCTCAACACCTTTTTCTTTTAAGTTCCTCTCCTACTTTTTATCACCAATAAATGGTATCCTGTAGAAAATTCTTCCTCTATACATCATTTACATTTTAATGTCCTTGAGGACACCTTCCCAAAAGGATAAATAAAGTTGTTTCTAATCTAATCTAATCTAATCTAATCTAATACAGCTACTGTATTATGCAAACAGTTTATGTGCTGCAGCCATCGTCTCGCTACAAAAACAAAGTTTAGTTTGGTGTCAAGTAAAGAAAAATACCTGATCTCTTTAGGAGCTGTAGGCACAAACACAAAGGTCAGGACATGATGAATCTGCGTCTGTGAAGGCCAAAGTATTAAAGTTTCTCTCAGACAGTAAATGTGAATCTCTACATATGATTTATTAAAGGAAAAAAAAAGTCAAAGTCAGTAATTTTGGGGGTATTGATCTATTTATTGACCCATCAATTTATGCTCCCCTCTGTAAGTCTGATCTCTGACAGAGCCAGCAAATCTTTCCTTCTTACACTGAAGGCTAAAAAAGAGGCATTTCTTTTTGTAGCCAGAAGGCCTGGCTGCCCTTTTAACACTCAGCTGTAGGTTTTCAGATGACCTTTTACAGTTTGTGTTTTAAGACAGTTGATGAGAGAGGGAGTGAAATTGTTCAGAGCAGCTTTTCTGCACCTTTCTCTGCAGCAAAATGAGCTTTACAATGGCGCCTGTTTGAGTGCAGGAGGAGAAAATAGTGATGGTTTGTGTCATTATGGTGCTAAGAAACTGCAGGAAAAGAAAATGTATAGAGGCATATACAGTAAAGTCCATCTGTGTCGTTGGACTGTCAGAGCAGCAGGGACCTCTGCTGGCAGCAAGAAGAAAATGCAAGTAAAAATGAAAACTATCGTACTATGATGCATGGTCTGATATAATGCTGCTATAAAACCTCAGTAAAAGTCAAGAATCTGAGCTTGATTCTGCCCTTATTAATGCTGTTTAAAAACAATAAAAAAAACCATTATGTAATAACAAAAAGGTCAAAGACAAACATAGAAGTGGAAGTATTTGTTGCATTTTTTGAAAGATGCTTTGCCGTCACTCTTGACTTGCATGACAACCAAACTAAATTCTCTCTAACTCTTGCATTTAAATTTTTTTTTCTCCATAAAATAAAATAAGAGAAAGGGAATTGGATAGTGGTGGAGTCATTCTATGAGTTCACCTGAGTGGCGCTGCGGAGGGCTCCAAAAAACATTTAAGGTGCCCACCAATAGTTTCAGGTGTGGCACACGAGACGCTTTTGTTTTTGATCTCAGGCTGGCGGCTGGTTATATTTTTGATTTATTGGTTTATTGTGCAAAAGAATAAACGGATTGGTATATCCAAATGAAGTTTTTTTGCCTACAAAAGTTTAATTGTTTTAAACTTAATGGAACAAGTTAATGGACAATCAGTGAGCAAGCAGAAATATGGCCGCGAGTGCATAAAGGTGCATCATCAGATAGGAAAAAGGTAGTTTGTAATTAGGGAACACAATCTTCACAATAACAGCAAATCAGCGATAATGTAGCTATTCTTTTGTTGCATTTCATTGACTATTTATTGCTTTCAAAATCTTGCTGAAAGGTCCTCCAAAGGGTTAGAAAATGGCAATAGTCCCCGTCTCCTTGTGCCCAAGCTGTCAATCCCTCTATGTTGATTGTAAACTTTGAGACTGCCCTGTATGTTAGACAAAAACAATACAAGTGTCTAATAAAAGGATTTACTTCCCTTTTCTCTTGGAGCGTCATCGTACACGTTTCAAGATCCAGCTCTGATCATTCTGCTCACCTGCAGACTGAGAAGACCAAATCTTTTCCACCACCCTGGTTTTCTCTCTCTGTCTGTCGCACCCTGCACTGTCAGCCTTCATCGTAAATTTCTCCTCAGCTTCCTGTCATCTCTGAAAACCCTGTAAACATACTGTCAAGCAACGGTTTGCTGTAAACACCCTGCCTGATTTCACTTATCCTCTCCATGCAGGCCTCCCCTCAGGGGCTTTCCATTGGCATACAAATCCACCTGCCAGGGCACAGAGCGGTAAGCGCTGAGGTGGTCTTAGCACAGATGTTGGCAGAAACAAAAAAGGGGGTTGGCTGGAAAATCCAGGAAAACACAGAAATTTAACTGCATCCCCCCATCCCTGAAGCTTTGAGATACTTACACATCATTTAATTCTGAACCCAAGTCCTGACCTTATGTTGCATTATCTTCGTAATGACTGTACACAGTTTGTAGATAATTTACAAATCAAAAGTGATGATCTAAATTCAGCCCAAACTTTTCTACACTTGTTACAGGAGGTTCTGTCTTCAAAAACTTACAGGAGAGTTTCCTGGAAACAAAACATAACAGATAAATGAACAGACTCCTCTTCAGTCTTCAAAGCTTTCTTCTGTGGGGAATTGAAGGAACACGCAATCTTAATCATCCTCCTGTCTGTCTGTTTACCTGCTTCTCTGACAGACAGGAGGATCTGTAAAAACAGTTCACAAGAGAAAAACTCCACCAACTTACATTGTTGCTCTTTACAATTCTTGGCATTGAACTCATGTAATAATTATTTTTATATCTTGTCTTCCCCTCTGAGATAGTCTCAGACTGCACAGCAGGGGGCGTCAGATTCCTCTCCCTCTTTCTCCACCCTCACTGTAGCCTCTCATTGTCAGAGCAGATCAGAACAAAACTCAGGTTTCAACCAAATGACCCGTCGAATATTCAGCGTTTTAAAGCGTCGCTGATGAAGCGGCTCTCCTTGTTATGGCTGATGAATGCAGATCGACATTGCAGTGTTTTTTTTATTTTTCAGCTGAGGGTTTACCAACATCGACCACGACGAGAAACTCAGATTTGAGGTGGTCCTCATAAATGCCTGATGAAATATTCAACAGCTCTCCTCACTTCAGCCCCCCACCCGCCCCCTCTTCATGAGTCTGGGGGGACTTTGTATTCAGAGAAGAGAAGGAGTGGGAAAGATGAGTAAATGGAAATAAAGAGGGGGAGAAAGATGGAAATGTGAGTTTGTGTGTGTATGTGTGCATTATTCATGTCTTAAACACGTGTATGAGTAAGCACATGTGTGTCTCTGTGAACACAGGCTTTGGTAAGGATGTTACCGTGGGTCCTTTTCCTTTTTGTGTGTGTGTGTGTGTGTGTGTGTTTTGGCTGCTTAGCTCTAAATTGCTGTCGTGTCACTTGAATGTGCCAGAGGGGACACAGTGTGTGTTTAATATAAAGTATAATGATTCATATGGAAAACGCTCTCTGAGGAGGAGACTCCCTCCTCTCCTTGCTGTAATCAATCCCAAAGCTGCATACAATTAACACTTCCATCGCTGTGATCTGCTGAGGAGTGAGGAAAAGAGAGTCACGGAGCCAGGAGGAGGAGAGTCGATAGATGTGTTTGTATTCAGTTCACAGAAATCTCTGGGGAGTTTAGGAAATAAGACTTAACTGCCGTGAACATGGGAGTAAATTGCACTTTTGTACTTTTAAAGGAGGAGGCCTGGTTTGTCCCCTACTAACTGTCTGTGTCCAGAGAAAGAACAGACAGGATATGAGTGTAGAAACACCAGAGGCAAGGTGATGCTCTCTGTTTAACTTTAATAGAAAAAGAAGAGAAGAAATAGGCTGTTTTTGTGTTTCTTACCGGTGTAATAATATTTTGCTGGTTCATCTTCACCTCACAAGGTTTTAAAAAGCTCCTCAAAATGCATCGACCAGAGGGAGCAGGTTAGATGGTGGCCAGAAAAAGGCGTTTTTTCACAACTTGACTGGCGACATAAAGTATGTGGGCGGCCTGTAGCAGTGAATCTTTGAGAGAAATTCACTGTGGGGCAGAAAAACAGCAGCCATGGCCTTGAGGAGAGGAATGGGTGGTTGTCATGGAGAGAAAACCAGATACATTCAACAATACAGGCTCCAGGTCTTTCAAACATGACATTGTTTTCTCTGATGAGTCTGTTAGAAATAGGCACCAACAGAATACAGCCACTAGAAATCTTGTTTATAATCAGCTGAGGGGTCACCGCAGCTGAGATACTTTATGAACAAATTACTTTGTGCTTTGGTAAATGCTGCAAAAGACTCGGTTTAATCTGTCCAGCCTTTAACTCTCTCTGAGTGAAAATTGTTTGTATCATTAATTCGACAAGTGAGTCTTTAAAAAGAGGTTTCAGGAGTAAAAAATCCATATAATGCACTAAGTATTCCCCTGCTGTGTTGAATTCGGTGGGTTGTGTTTGATTGAAACCCCTGTAATAACAGTGATTATTTCTCAGCAGTAAAGATGCTGCCGGGGACAACCGTATTGAATCAATCTGTGAAACATGTCGTGCACTTTTTTACCAGCATGACTTTGTACTATAGTCATGCTGGTTTTGAGATTTGACATAAGCTGAAGCAGGGATGTCCCAGTCCCAATCTCAACTATTGGATCAGGGCTGATAGGGACAGTGTCTTTTGTTGTGACATTTGCCTCATTGTAGTGTGAGATGCTCAAAGGTGAGGGAGAGCTGGATAAGGACAGAAATGATGAGGTAAATATTAAAGGAAAGGTCTTTTTCACTCTGGCTCACATTCTCATACATTAAAATGTTCAGTGTAATGTTTGTGTGTAGGGATGCACCAATCCGATATTCGTTTATCGGCTCAAAAAATTGGCAAATTAACTGGATCGGATATCTGATGAAAGACGCCGATCTAGCGTTCCTTTTTTTTCTTTTAATTAATATCATACAAAACAACAGCGATTCTGTTTGCGCTATATTCTGTTTGTCTATCGTTTTGCACTAAATGTTTACATTGAAGTCTTACTACTTTTTGCTGTGTGCTAATGTGCAATTTGTTAATAAATAATAACTAAATTTATATCTGTGTTAATTTGTTACCTTTTTTTTAACAAGGCTAATGTCAAGCCTGATGCCTTCACTCGCAGGGCAAGGTATACAGTTCATTCATTCAACAGTAGTACTGGATCGGTATCGGATATCGGCCGATACGCTCAGCCCAGGTATCGGTATCGGATTGGATCTCAAAAAATGGATTGGTGCATCTCTATTTATGTGTCCTTCAAGTAGACTGAAAAGATCCACTACTGACCACAAGCTGCAGTAAGCACCAATGATATAAGAATCCACAACAAAAATGCAGTGCAGCTTTATTTAGCTGTTTTTGAGACAGAAATCTAAAACAAACTAGACCAATAAACCAGAACTGTTTATGTCAGGTATTGAAAATTTTGTCATCTGAAAAAAATTTAAACTTATACTTCCAGTTATAATCATATTGCAGGTCTTGAGAAAAGCTGTTTTCGCAGTATTTTTTCTTGATCCACACAAAGTCAGGCGAGCCTTGTTGCACAGCTCTGTGTTGGGCTCTGCGGTTTGAAGTCTTCGGGGGCCGCTGACTCATGTTTGGCTTTTTTAAGACAAACTGAGATGTGATTGACTCAGTGCAGCAGAATTTGACAGTTCATTCCTGTGTCTGTCAAGTTGGTATTACTCGTCTCCTCCGCTCCTCACTCCATTAAATAAAACTGTCGTATGATGACGGAGGCGTCACAGAGCCCATTTGAGCCATTTATCGGCCAGGTGCAGTTTCCACTCTTCCATCTTTCTGAGCTGTCCCACCATCTTGTTTCCATCATTTTCTACTCCCTCTCTCCCTCATTTCATCCACCCCCTCCCTACCTCCTTCCTCCCTCACCTATCTCTCCCTCCATCTTCACAATCCTCCCAATTCTCTGCTCTCATTACGTCTCCCCACCTTCTCTCCCTATCCCTCCCTTACCTCTACCCATCCATCTCGCCCCATAGATCCTCTATTCCCTCCATTTCGCAGCTACTGCCCCCCTGTCTCATTTCTTCACACATTCCCTCTTTCCTAGCCTCCCAATTCTCTTCCCTCATTGCCTTCTTATTCTTTCCGCTGTGTGGGCATTGCTATGACAGTTTCCATCCAGCCTTTGTCTGATGTGAGCGGGCAGGAACTAAGCGGACGATTTATTATTCACTCCCTGCTCCTGTGCTTGTCAACACCTTTTTTCTCCCCGCTGTCAAATACTTTTTACCTTTCTTTCTTTCTTTCTACTACTCCACCGCCTAACCCCATCTTTTCCCTCCCTTACCCTCCTTCCATTCATGCTGGCAGCCGTTTCAATCTAGTAAGAGGTCCATTGTGTAACAGTTAATAAATGATGAGAGAGAGGTAAGCAGACGGGCACTCAGAATGATCCACAGCACCCTAGACAGGCCCGAGTAGCTGCACAGACGATGTCAGGCTTAATGTCTTGGAAGAGTTTGGCGCTCAGCCTAATGTAATTGACCTGTTGCTGTTTGATCTTCTTTTTGCAGTGTAGGTAGAAGCTTTTTTTGTGTCCTGGTTTAAACCATTGAGCTGTTAATGCATCAATTACTTTGCATTTGAGAGCAGGATAGCCGAAAGACTGATGGGTCAGGGGGGAGGTCAAAGCCCATCGATCAAGAGGCCTCGCTCCCCTGGCTTTGACTTTGACCCCTTCTGAATTAATGCGAAGATCTCTTTGGGTCTGCCGTGCATTCAGAAGGGGCAACAAGAGGGCAACAAGACAAGGAGATTTCCTCTCAGAGGGACGGGCTGCAAAGTCAGAAAAGATGCAAATTAATCAAGACAAATACAATAATGGAAAAATACTGCAAATGCAAAGAAAACGCTGTGAATAAAAGGATTTAAAAACATAAATGCACAATTAGTCATTTATCTTTCAAGAAACAAGTTAGATTAAAAAAAACCTGGAGAGCAATACAAGTGTGCTGCCATCTGGTGTAGCTGCAGTTACTCCTTCTGTGGTGACCGCTCACTTCATGCACCTGCCTCCCGACTGTGACAGCAGCATAAGTCAGTGGATTTAAAACATTAGACTGCCACTGAAGATGAAGGAACCTCAGTTAGATAGTCTTAACATTGCTGAAATTTGACATAATAAACCTTATCATTATTTATATTCAGTACACATGTAAATATGATATCTAAGTTTCTTTATCCTTTGATTTCTCTTTTGACGTCTGTACTTTGCTGCTATATGTTTGGAATTTCCCCCTGTGGGAATATTAAAGGAACATCTTATCTTATTTGACATATTAGACATGGATTACAAAAGTCTGATTATAAAGAAAGACAGAAAAGTATCACCATCATATTTGTGAGGAAGTGAGCAATAATGTTCCTCTACCTGCTGGTGAGCTTACTCACTTAACAGCTGCATTTAAACATTGTGGCATAAATAAAAAATGCATATTTTGCATGTAAGGATTGTGTGCCGCTTTTATCTAATCATGCTAGCTAGTACAGGAAAGTTTGATAGGATCAGTTAACAGCAGATGCCAGCTACACACCACTTAGAAATAAATCCCAGTTGGGTAAAGTTAGTATGTCATGGTTGTTTCAGCAGCTAAGAATGCCAAAAATTCTTCCAAGTGTCCTGAATGTTATTTTCTAAAGTTAAGTGACATAAGAGAAGTAGAAAAACTTAATCCTTTTATTATTCAGAGGCTGCTCTCGCAGTGTTCCTCAGACTTGTATGTGAATTTCTTTCAACACAACCAAGGATAAATATTCTGCAATATTATTTCTTTCTTTTGTGATTTCACTCTCCTCATTCGTCAAGTTTCGTCAGTGCTCTGTGAAAACTTGGTATTTGGAAAATGTCAACCATGCAGGGACTGAAAATCAACCTGTTTTTTTTTTTTCCTGCCTTTTCTCTGCAGCTTTGTTTCGGGTTTGTTTTGGAGATTTTCGGCTCATTTGCTCACCAAAGTCTCTCTCCACACGGATTGGTGTGTGTGTGTGAAGTTTAACATCATCACTACAGCAAATCACGTCCCCTTATCTCGTCTATTCAGCCAGGCTTTCAGAATTTAATTTGCTGCTGTGTTGCTGCTGTGGTGTGTGTTTGAAAGCCTGCTTCTTTGTCTCTCTCTCTGTGTTTATTGACACTCTTACTTGTATTAACCAGTGCATGTGTGCGTGCATTTGTGCATGTGCATTTACCTGTGTGATTGTATTTGAAATGGGTTTGTTGTTGTTGTTGTTTGATCTTGATTAGAGATTGTTGTCAGATCTGTGTCTTTGTGCACAGCTCGAGAGAAGGTGTGTGAGTGTTGAGATGTTCTCTTGAATACTAAAAAAAGTCCCTTACAGATGTCTCTAACACACACACACACACAGACGCACGCACTCACCTGCCCTGCAGTGCTCCTGTTTTCACTTTCTTTGTCTGTCTGCCTTTCTTCTTCCTCCTCTTCTCTAAATCTCAATTTCTCTCACACCTCTTTTTTCCTTTCTCTCTTGTTCTTACACCGCATTGATCTTTGGCGTACGGGCTCCTGCAGCTAGTAGCTTTTAATGAATGCCACGGCCTAATGGCTTTATCATTGGCCTTGATGGCTTCAGCTTGGCCACATTGTCAGCTCAGCTGTAAATTGTTTTCTTAACCAAAGTCATGTGAGGAATTTCAATCGCGGTGCAGTCGATGGTGTCTGAGCAGCCTGCCAATCTTTGTAGCAGGGCGTTACACGGAGGGCAGGACAGGGTTAATGTGATTGACAGAAAAGTACATTTGTGGGGTTCATTCTGTTGTCGAGGACATGTGTGCTCGTGTGTGCAGTCTGGGTGTGTGTGTGTGTGTTTGTAGCTGATGGATCCATCAGGGGATGGTAGAGTAAAAACGTGTCTGACATGGTGCATTGATGCCCCCGCTGACATATGCGAGGCAGTGTATCTGCAAATATAGTGGTGTCAGATGAGCAGGGCTTTGTCTGTGACCCATCCGCTAGCAGAGCAATTCAGCATACACATACACATACACATAGGCACACACGCACTGGCAGGGAAACACACACCACCTGTCAGACTTGTGCGTATAGAGATAGAGCAGCAAATACACTCCACAGTCAGACCGTTTGCCTGCTGAATAGCAAAGGGGGACTGATCAGTCTGGCTCTCCCTAATCTTCCACTCACCTCCTGCACTCTTATTTTCTTCCTATCTCTCTCTTCTCACCCTCTTTCTTTCTTCTCCTCCTCTTCTTCTCTTACCTCCCCCTCTGTTTACGAATCCTCTTAATTCATCTTCGTCTTCCTCTCCTCTTTTTCCCTCTCACTCTTATTTTTTTGCCATTTTCTCTTTCTGTTTTTCCTCCTCTCCTCCACTCTCCCCGGAGTTTTTTCCCCTCTTACACACCCCTCTCCCTCTCTGTTTGTCTCCGTCTCTTCCTGTGCAACAGTGTGCAATCCCTCTTTCCCCACTAGACAGACGAGAAGAGCGACTGAGACGAATAGGCGGCGAAGAGGGAGCTGGAGACAGAAGCAGAGACAGAGAGAGGCAGATACATAAAGAGGCACGGAGGAATTGATGGACTGACAGGCTGGTGGCAGGGGACACACTGAGGGGAAAAAGAGAGAGAGAGGAAGAAGAGAGAGGAAGAGGGAGGGAGTGCTTGAGAGAGAGTGGATGTAAAATAGCCAGCTTCTGTGACAGCGCAGACAAAGGTAGCTTCAGAGTGCATGTGCGCTCGCTATTTCATTCACACACACACTCGCTCTTCTCACACGTACACACACACACATCTTCTCCCTCCCTCTCTCTCTCTATCTCTCTCTCTCACTCACTCACTCAGACACATGCACACACACCCTCGAGCAGCAGCGACAGAGCTGTGTGGGTTCGAGGCAGCATGAGAAGTGGTATCTTTGCGTCCACACACAGCAGGCTGATGGACTAACTTAATTACAACGCACACACGTACTTCACACACTCTGTCAGGCGCACCTTGATTACAGGGAGGCAGACATACACACACAAACACACACACACGCACACACGTATTCCATTCATAGCTGTCTGCAGCCAGAAGTCAACATGGGTCTTGTGATGGGAACCTTTTCCATGCAAACAAAGCAGGTGTCCTACCACAAAGGTAAGACTTTCGTTTTCTTTACGATCATCGTGTTATTTTGTTTTGTTGGGTTTTTGCTCAGGATGTGTGTGCCGTTTTTCAGAACATGCTCGAGACTTTCACATGAAGAGGAACACCTGTCATGCTGTGTGTGTTTGTGCTTTGATGAAGGAGTCTTGTATGTTTGCTCTCTGGCTCATGAATATTGAAGTAGAAGTGCATTATGGGAACGGTATAAGTGCGTACTGGGAAGTGATGTAAAGTTGGCAAAAAATGTCAGTCATTACTGGTTTATGATGCAATCTGGGCCACCTGTCCTATAGATGCAGGAATAAATGTATGTGTGTGTGTGTGCGCGCCCTTGTTTGTGACTGTGTGTTTGTGCGAATGTGTGAGTCTGTGTGTGTGAGAGAGAGAGAGAGAGATCCAGAATTGGGCATGTCCAAAAAAGGTGATGGTATTTTCTAAAGCCTGCTTCCTGTCTGCCCCTGCTGCAGTTTGACAGAACAAAACTGGCACTCAGATTTGATGTATGCATGGTGTGTGTGTGTGTGTGTGTGTGTGTGTGTGTGTGTGTGTGTGTGTGTGTGTGTGTGTGTGTGTGTGTGTGTGTGTGTGTGTGTGTGTGTTTATGGTAGTTTGGCGTGTGGTCATTTGCATTCATGCCCATGCTCATAATTCACTCCTGAAATACTGGAGTGTGTCTTTGGGGGGTGTAGGCTTGGCGGGTGTTGTGTGGCCGCTGTGACATCTGTGTATGTACTCTATCTATGTGTGTGGATGTGTGGATGTATATATGAGTGTGTGTGTGGGTGTGTGTGTTTGTATGAGTGCAATAAATCAGTGTGCTGTAATCTGTCCGCCTTTGGCCCTGGTCTGTCTTCAGTCTGTTGACCTTAGACGTGATGGTTATCACCAGCAGACACAGAGCTGCAGCAACACACTCACACTCACACTCACACTGAGGAGGAGACAGGAAGCCTAAAACCCTTTTTACACTGTGAGATCTTGTTAAACAGACTGTGTGTTACATATGCTGTGTCAAAAATTGTGTAGGCGAAGGAAGTGATGTAAATTATGTGCTGTGAATCTGGTGTTAGTCCCTTTAGAGACATCCTTTCAGCTGTCCATATTTTCTTTGTTTTCCCTGTCAAGCAGTGCATCCAGAGCACACTGAGTGTTATAAAAACACTTTAGTGTGCACAGAAACTGTCTTCTGAAACACAGGCATACATATATAGCATCCTGCGTGGGTTGTTTATTTTAATTCCGACCCGCGCCTCATTGCATTGCATGGCAACAGCTCTCAGCAGATACTTCAGATGTTTGCTGAACAGATACTTGGGGCACATTTTCAAGGTGATGATTTCAGCTGCCTGAAATATGAAATCTGCAGAGGGATCGAGAGATTATTAAGACAACAAAGAGACATATGCTGTGTGTTGTCTGCCTCCGTTTTTGAGAGCAACCCATTTACTCTGAGGCAACAATGCTTACAAAGCATCTTACATGTATTTTTAGCCAATTTAGTGCAGGATAAGCTGCGTTGGTTAGGGTAACCTCCAAATAGATCCACTTTGAAGTTTGCACTGCTAGTAGTGAGGAAGAGGAAAGACGGGGGGGAGGAGAGATGAGTAAAAAGTGGGAAAGAAAAATTGAGAAAAGTTGAGAGAGGAGGCGAGGGTACTCCTCAGGGGGCTGCAGTGTGAGTGTCAGAGAACGGGTGTGTGTTCCACCATCTGCTGCAGTGTTTCTGAAAAGTGGCCTAATGAAAGCAGGGCAGGATTCATTTTGCATGGAAGGTTGGCTCATCCTTGATCACGGCCCAACATGAGGCAGCGACCAGCTGGGATGCTCCTGACGTGAACTTGCTGAGGAGTGAGAACTTGTAAGTATGAGAAAAAATTCAGATTCAGTCTGACTTTGTGCCGTGGAGGTGAGTGAGGGAGGCAGAGACTTGTAAATAGGCCCACATGACTAGTGACTTCACTCAGACTCTCGCCTGAACATTTTTAGACCCTCTAATTAGAAATCAGCTCACACTCCATGAAAACTTGGTAAAGGCTCAAAAATATGATGAGCCAAGGACTTGTTAGACTCTGGATTCTAATGCTTATACTAACACGGAAAAGAAGGACTAGTTTGTACAGGTTTATGATCCATGACATGAATTTGGTCAATTATCTGTTTTACAAAGTAGGTATAGCTGAGGCTCTTTCTATCAGTGAATAATCTTTGTGCACTTTCTGGCGTACTCTAGTTGCTGTTCAAAACTGAAAAGGCACATTATGCAAATAATGGTCTCATTCAAGGACAAAGGCTATGCACTTTTGTCTTCATTAAATGGTTTTAAAAAGAAAGGTGTTTCATTAAATGCTGGTTTTATGTTCAATATGTCTTTTCATTCTCGGCTTTAGAGGCAACCTTGAGGTTGGCATCCTCTAAAGGGGACCTTGTAGGATAAATCTGCGGTGATGGCATTTATTTTTACTTACGTACTGTACCTACTTGATCTACTACTTTCTTTTGTTCCTTGTAAAGGCATGTTGGTATTTTTTTAACAACAGGGAGATATTTAACAGAGAAAGAGTGGGGGGAAGAGCACCAAGTATAACATTCATGTAATGTTATGTATTTTATTCACCAGGATGACTCGTACACCGCTTTCTGTTTTGAAATGTAAGATTCAGCCAGTGGGAAAATAAGATCAGACCTCTTAGAAGGGAAAATCAGCTGTTGATATGTATAATATGAAATAAGTGAAGCTATAGCCTACATATTTTCCTATTCTTTAATGCCGCGTAGTTCTGGAGGTAGATATGGCTAACTATTTTAGCAGCTGTGTCTATATATCTTTAAATAACAGCCTCAGATCTTTGCTCTTAGATTTTATTCCTTCCAGGGAGAATGCCTCTTTCATCACCACTCTACAAACTGTTTTTCATTTTGCAACTTGAACTGTGTGGGTATGATCTCCCATGAGAAGTTTGTGGGGAAAAAAGCTCCAAGGTAAACCTCTCCTTTAACAGCTCTGAGTATTTACTGTGCAGACATCGTGGCAGAGGTGAAAAGACTGAAAAGCACGTTGGCAGACAGAGTGACCAAACAACAGGCTGAAAAAGAGAAAATGTCAGAGCGGCTTTTAAGAGAGTGAATTGCACTCTGAAATTGTTGGAGCGACAACTCGCAACAAATACCATTTCTTGCATAATGTCACCCCCCATAACCTCTCTTGTGCTTTGAATGCTGAATGAGAGGTGCTTTGGTTTAAAAGCTTAACACAAGTGCAGTCCATTTACAGAGCTTTTTATGCCAATTAACCAGCTGGATTGACATAAAATGAGATGCAGAAAGGTGTTATTGGATATGTCATTAAGTGAATCTGTCATCTACATAAAATCACGTTTTTCCTCTTGAGATACCAGAAGGAAGAGATACAGTTTTAGTCCAAACGTTGTCCAGCTCATACGGCCATAGGTTGGCATGAAGGAAAATATCTGCAATTGACCATCTCCACTAGGGCAAAAACTGAAATGCACCCACTGTCCCTGTGCACAACCTGCTCTGCTGATAGAAAATGTATCCCAGTGGGTTTAATAAACTACAAAACCTGCACCTCTCTGACGCATTCATCTCCCTGTCCATTTGCTCCATTTGTTTTCGCCTCTCCTTTCATTTTGCTCCGTTTACTCACTCTGTCAAGAGGATTTTCTCTCTCCTTCTCTTTGTCTTGTTCACTCTCACCTCATTTCACCTCCATATTTTGTCTCTTATATGTTCAAGTTTGTCTTTTCTATTTCCAGAGATGCTCTCCTCCTGATCCAGAGGAGCTGGTCGTCTGGCATCTCTGTTTATCTCAGGGTTCCTGCCTCTCCAGCTCTGAAACCCCCACATCTCCTTCTTTTCAGATAGCCTTGTTTCACTCCAACTGCTTCAAGCTTTCATGTGAATTTTTAGTTTGGGGCTTGAAGAACAGATGTAAATAGGTGTTTGAGTGTGTGTGTGAGATCTGCTGGAGAAGGAGTGTGTTTATTTCAATGACTCCATCTGCTGCAGGGCTAAAAGAGCTGAGAAGAGAGGAGGACTGCTTCTTTAATGGGTTTTATAGTTTCCACCCCTCTCTCTCATCCTTGCACATCAAAAGAAGTGCACCAAAAGGGCCAATTAGGATGGCAAAAGAGGGTTATTAGGCGCGTGGAAACATGAAGATGAGTTTCTGGATAATACCACGCCGAGAGCGTGTGTTTATGTTGGTGTGTGTGACTGAGTACGAGTGTGAAATGATGAGAAACAATATTACAATCTGACATCTTATATTTCTTAACCTCTGGGTCGATTTTCGCAGGAAGTATCATTTACATTTTTAATAACTCTGTCCTTCATTTAAGATCCTCTGTCAGTGTTTGATCCTTCAGGGTTGCAAATTAAACCCACGTTCAAGCATCCTATTAGATAGAAAAAAAATCAATATAAATGAAGATACTTTATTTGCATATGATTTGCTGCCAAATGATTGGCTCAGTTCTTCAAAGATAAACAACATTTTCCATGCGATTTATCTCCACAGACAGCTCAGCCTTGTGCTTGCCTTCAGGCTCTGTTATACAGGAGCCAAACGAGAGAAATGCAGATGATGAATATAGATAGCTACTTAGCTCTGACTGTATGGCTTAGCCTGTGTGATCAGTCTTTACAGCGGTGATGCTCATCACTTGAGCTTAATTAATTTGACAGCTAGAATGAGACACTTAAAGAGTAAATTGGAGATGTTGCCAGTGAAACATTGTACATCATACGCACCGCAATGTATTGAAGTTTTATGAATTTTAAATCAAAAGACTCCCTTTTCCACTTCCACTAGATATACTGTATAGTGTGCATATCCATGAAGCATGTAATTAAATCTATCATTTGAGTTTTAGAAAAGAGGTAGTGCAAGATTGAAACACATTATTATGCATACACCACTGCTTCACATTCAAAGATTTAATGTCTTGACTGTAGTGTGAGTCAGCTTTTCTTTTACCTGACCCGAATGAAGCCGTCTTATGCTCTGGGTTTCAACTTCTGAGAGCCAGTGTTCATTCACAACAGTGGACAGAGCCACTTATCTGTAAAGCCAGTGTGCTCCTCATGGCTGAGCAGCAGGTATTTAAAATAGGTGGATGAAAGATAGAAACAGTGATCGACTCAAACGTAGACCATGGTAACTAACTGATGTGGAGTTATGATTACAATGTGGCAGAGACATCAGACAACTATCACTAAAACTGAGATTTGGTGTTGTAAGGTGTGATAACTGAAGATAAGGAGAGTGCCCGGAAAATGCTAATGTCTGGGGAAATCTTACTGCAGTCTTAGAAGCAACATCTTCTAGGAGACTAATAGGAGAGCGTGTGATCGACAGTATGCCCATTACCAGAACCATCAACAGGCTGACAGCCTTGGACACTAGAAGTGGTGGTGTATACTGTGACTTATGGTGAAATAACCAACAACCCACAGGTTATTTTTCATTTTTATGGTATTTATGCAAAAAGAAAAAAATGGCAAAAAGTACTCTTGCTTACACCTGTCATAACCTTTTTAATGTAGTTTAAACATAACACTTTAAACGATATTTTACTCCCTATTTCTGAAAACAATGCTAACAATGTTTACTGTATTACTCCTATTATTGCAAATACAATTGTTTCTTCATAAAAACAAGATTAACCCTTTAATGCCTGAAATGAAAAATTATGGCCAGAAAATTTAAATTTTTTTGGAGCTGAAATGTTTATTTCACTTACTACTGAAAACCCCCAAAAATCAAAATGTCCTTATAATTTAACAAATATATTTATTTATCTTGTTTGATACATTAGATGTTTTTTGGAAACTGATAAACCACAAGAGGACATTTTTATCATTTATCGGACTGTATTCAGGTGTTTTTATAATAATTTGTTGATCATATTGATTTGATAGTATCATAAGTATCATAAAAGTATGTATCAAATATCATACAAAAGGCAGTAAAGGGTTAAGTCACCATAAAGAATACAGTATGTTTTTTTAATTAACTTTGTAGGTAGAAGTAGGGGGTCATCTCTTATTATAGGACCAACTAGGTCATCTGATATTTTTGAGCATCTTGCATCTTAATCTTAAAAAAACAGTATCTGCATATAAAAATAGGTGGTGATGTGATCGGGGCGATAAGAGGTGAAAACATAAGGGATGACTCATCTTTATCTGCATATTCATCACGCTAATTAAAACCCCACAGGAGCGGTTTCTGTCCCATGGAAAAAAGTGTCTTAATGATAATTTCTAAGTAGGGCAGTGAAAAAAAAAAAATGTAAAAACTTGTTTTGTATCTTGTTTTTTTTTTTCAGTTATCAGAGGAGAAGGCATCTGTTAAAGACCTTGTACTCACTAGAAAATCCATTTCTTGAAGTTTAGTTTAAGGATAAAAGTTTGCTGCAGTGTGAGGGAAGCAGAGAGGAGAGATACACAACGTTAATTATCCATGGAGGGAGAAACTTGGAGTGAATCTGAAACTGTGAGAAACAATCAGAAAGAAGCACAATAATCACGCCTTCAGCTGACATGGAAAACACCCGACACAATGCCATGTTTTTGCTCGTTGTTGTCGCTGCAGAACAATCTGACGCTGTGAAAATATCCTGTGTGTGTGTGTGTTTGAGAGTGAGTGAGTTTCTGGTAAATAATACATGATGTATTGCTGTGGCCTTGTGAGCATCAGGTCTATGACTCTGAGTTCACCGCTGTGTCACTCACTCACTCGCTGGATAGTTTTATCTCTGCATGTGTTAAAGATGCAACGAATAAATAAAACTACAGACGTTGAGATGTAGAGTTTTTGCTTGCATTCGTTGCACTGTTGTTACACTTTTCCTGGGCACTGACATATATTGAGTCTGATCTGTTTGTTTTTTTTTCTTTCGATTCTGCTAAATAAGTAAGTAGCTAAATAATTAAATAAAAACCAACCCTTTGAATCCAGATGAGTGTATTCCCTCCGCTCCCGCCACCTGCTAGTGTAAGCGAGTGTCTGTGTGCATGTGTGTGTTGACTAAGACATCACATCCCCTGCCAAAGTAGTTAGCTGTGAGAATAATGCTAGAGCAGAAACTGTGTCAAAGAGGAAAACATCTTTATTCCCGCTGCTCAGTCCTCCTCTGTCTGTGTATCTCTCACCCTCTTATCGATTCTCTCTTTAATCACTCTGTCCTGCATTAAATCTTTATCTCCTGCTTTTTCACACTCCTCATTCCTGCTTTATTTTGCGCTTTGATTTTTTTTTTTATTTTACACACCCCTTCATCTCTATTTCCCCATCTATCTACGTCCCCACTTACCTCCTTTCCATCCATCTTTTCCTCGTTCCTCCTCTCTTTGGATGATGACAGATCAATAGCAGAGGAGCCTTTAATTATTCTCTTTTTCATGATGTGATGGGAGCGCGTGAGAGGCTTAGCATGTGTTCACTAATAAAGATACAGAGGAGCAACTGAGTGGGATTTCATTTGGGAAGCACATATTAGTATTGATTTTTCTAATAGACGTATTAGTCCCTGTCCGAAGCCATGCTGAACCCTGATGAGCAGTTTCTAAAGCCGTGTCTGCTGATATGATGGCGTCACACAGCAACACTGTGGATTATTAATGTATAACTGTGCTGTGTGGACGCGTTTTTGGAGGAACAGGAGTTTTTTTGTCGCAGGCTGCAGCTCAGCACCGAGGTTGGTCTGAATCTTGCTGCTTTAAAAAGCTGAGCTGATTTTCTGAAGCTCCTACCCAGCGGTTTAATCTTAATCAAGATCTTCAGAGTTTCATTTTCTTCCTCCTTTCCCCCCCTCATCATCTTCTTTGTTCTCCCATTTTCCTCCCTGCAAATGTAATGTTTGCATGTCCCACTTGCTCTCTCCACTGCCTTTTCTTTCTTGTGATGCCACTCGCCCACTCTCCTGGCTCTTGTTACCCACTTCTTTCTTTTTCTTTCGCTCTCTGCATCACACTCTGTAATCTCTAGCTGGAAGCCTTCCTGATGCGCTTCCACATTCTTCCTTTTCATCTTTTATTGCCAAACACTGTATGTTTCCATCTCCTCCTTTGCTGCCTTTTTTCCTTTGCCCTTATGTTCAGCCATCCTACCTCTTCTCGCTCCTGCTGTATGCTTCCTCCTCTTCCTCTTATCTTCTTTCCCCCTTAAAGTAAGCCTGGGGTTTTTTTTTTGTGAAACAGTCTGCAGCCATTCCCTCACATGCCTGCAGGGGAAACACCAGGCAATCCGGCAGCATGTTGTGCACACACTTGCGCACATACACACTAACTCTCTCTGTGTTTCTTAGCTCTACAGACAGACTTTGCAATGATTACTTAAAGGAGGAACATTTCTGTCTGAGAGTAAAACCAGGGGCCTGCAAGAGACTGCAGGGAGACAGAGAGGGATGAAGATGTGTGAGTGGAACAAGCCGGAAACAGTGTTTGAAACGACAAGAACACTGGACTGATATGTTCCAGAGATTTATCGGGTGAGATGGACGGATAAGGGTGTATCAGGGAAGGCTGTGTGCCTGCAGACAAATTCACAGATAAGAGGGGAGAGAAAGATGGATAGATATAGTTTAAGGCTAAAGATGAAGCAGGGTGCAGTAAAGATAGCGAGGAATCACTCTGATGGGCTGTAAATTCCTACAGGCGCAATACAGGCAGGGCGTAAAAGAGCAGACCGTGTGTGTGTGTGTGTGTGTGTGTGTGTGTGTGTGTGTATTGCAGGGTGTCATAAGTGTCCACAGAGACCTCATCCTATGATCTTCCATTTCCTCTGCCCACAGTTGGTACATGTATGAAATGAACATGCATACATATGTGTGCTCCTCTGTGTGTGTGTGTGTGTGTGTGTGTGTGTGTGTGTGTGTGTGTGTGTGTGTGTGTGTGTGTGTGTGTGTGTGTGTGTGTGTGTGTGGCAGGATGAAAGGAGGCATTACTCCCCACTGCTGTCCATTCTGTCTCTCTTGCTGTTGTGAACCCAAACCAAACCACACATTCATGGGCACACTTTAGCAGAAACAGATTGCAGATTTTTTACTCACTGAACTGAATATTTGCAGCTAAATCTTCCCATATGGCTTCCTAACAATCACACTTAGTTCATTATTCACCAGCAGTAGACAAAAAATGTTCGGAGCACTTGCCACATTCACAGAAGCGTTTTTATGGATTTCTGGCTTGATGTTAAATGACAGTGTGTCTATTTTCTAGCTCGACTATTGACGACTTGGCTGTAAAAGTCGACATATGCATCATGAGCAGGAGCAGTTGTGGCTTTTTTAAACGTTATCTGCTGCCCAATTTTTGGGAAAAAGAGAAGATTTGTCTTTGTCCTTGAAACAAAGCGCAACTTTGATCAGCACTGACAATGACGTTTTTACACACTGAGTCCCCAGGCTGGCTGCTTGAAGCTCGACCTGGTACTTAGCAAACTGAGAGTTAGTATTACCTGACACTGATACTGTGCTGTCTACAAGATCTGTTTAATGGCTGCAATAACCAGTTACCATACAGATTTAGATTTTAAACACAAACATAAACGCTTTAAAAATCAATAAGAATCAAAGTGCTTTATTACAAGGTGAAATACAGTTATAATAGAAGCTGTTTTACTTTTGTATAAAGGAGTTAGAATATTTGGTAACACTGAATTTGATGCCTATCTCTATAATGCATTATGAATATATGTGTAATGTGTTATAATCACGTTATAGAACTGTATATCTATAGTTATAAACACTCATAAATGATCATGCTTTACAGCAATAATCATAACACATTATAAAGCATTTTATCATGACTTACAAGGTCAGGTATTATAATGTGTTATAACTGTTAACAACAGTTGCATTGCATTATTTATGTGGGCTTTGTCAGTTATAACACATTATGATACCTGACCTTGTAAGTTATGATAAAATGCTTTATAATGAGTTATGATTATTGCTATAAAGCATTATGATCATTTATGAATGTTTATAACTGTATACAGTACTATAACATGATTATAATGCATTATACATATATTTGTATTGCATCATAAAGATAGGCATCAAAGTGTTACCGAATAGTTAAATACATATAGAAACTGTGGTAAAAAAAAAAAAAGGAAAAAATAAATAAAAATGACAAAAGCTACAGCGACACAGAAGTATAGACCTTTTAGGAAAAGGCTATAACAAAAAAACATGCTGGAAATGTAAAAATTAACCAATACATACAAAAGAGCAGCATTGAGAGTATGATAAAACAGTGTGTAAATGTGCCAAATCTCTTCAGTTATGGGATGGATCAAATATACTATGGTCTGGGTCGACTTGCGGATCATGGATCAGATCATTTTTCAACTTTTCTAAGACAGAATTACTATTTTTTATCTCTCACTGAGCCACGACCATAACTGTAACCTTTAGAGGTGCGCTGTGCGCAGGTTTCCTTCCAGAGGGGCCACCATTTTGCATGACCATATGTTACGGCTGTACATGTTCTGCATATAAAGTGAGGAGCTGCCTGGAATGGACCAGTTGGGAGATGAGGAAGATGAAGAGCCGAGCAGTTGTTATTTGCATTGTCAGTCATTTTTGATTAAAACTTGATTAATGGAGGATCATACTTATGTGTCCCCTGAAGGCCACCATTGCTCGTGTCGCATCATTAGCATGATGGGTGAGTAGGCCTATTGAGAATAGCCTATTGCTAAATGTTGTAATATCTACACACTGTCCCTTAAAGGGTCAACAAATTGTCATCTATCTTCATGCAGTTCCTTTATGGGTTTTTTTTCTTGCTTGAATACTCATGTTGCCAGATCTCCAATATCAAAAATAAGCACACAGATAAACCTGAGCTCTTTATTTTGAAAAAGTACAACAATCTGCAAAAGCTGCATCATTTCAGTAGTAGTATTTTTTATCCCACAACTAAGAGCATCAACTTTACAAACACAAAGCACAAGTCCATCTGTGAATTACAAGTTTGCTTTAATCTGTTTCCTCTATAATGAGGCTGTGTGTGTCTGTACAATGGCTGCCCCTGCGGTGCACATCGTGTGAGTCAGAAAAAACACAACATGTAGGGAGTGTGTGTGTGTTTGAAGATTGTTTTTTCCCGTTTGTTAACCAAGCACAGCACTATTTAGCAGAGTGAGCAGATTTAAAATGATCATGTTTCGCTCGCTGAATGCATAAATTGAACTTGTTGCTTCTTTCTCTGAAAACTCTGGGCGGGCTGTACATCCAGCTCTGCTTCATTAAAATGTTTTGTTTGTGTCTGTTACACAAGCACAGTGTGTTATTTTGTCATCTGTAACAGTCCTCCACTTTGTCTGTTTGCGCTTTCGTCACGTCACACCATGAACCTTGTTTGTATTGATCGAGCTGTAATTAAAATGTGATTTCGTCTGCTGCCTCTGTGTGTGTGTGCGTGTCTGTGTGTTTACAGCTCGTACCGGGTGAGACACACCCTCCTGCAGTGTTATCTGTCACTTCTCCTGATCCCATTCCTTCTGCCCTCTTTCTTTTCACGTCTTGCTTTTTCCGGCTCTGAAAATCTCGCTCTTCCCACTTCCTTGACTCTAAGCCTTTCCCCGTCATTTTTTTTCTCTCTCGCCCGCCTGCCCGTCTCTCTTCCCTTATTTCTGCCTTCCCCGGGAGCCAATCTGCCACTTCTCCTCCTTGCCCGTCCCCTGTAAGCATGTGTACAGTATATGTGTGTGTGGTGGACTATGGTTGGATGAACAGGGATGATGGATGGAGTGAGCAGAGGTGGTGATGGATTGAAGTGGCCTTTTCATGAAGAAAACCGTGATGACGAGGAAAAAGAGAAGTTGCAAAGAGCTCTCCCCGGATCCTGTCATGCTTGTTTTTCCCCCCTCGTTCCATAATTCATATTTACCTCCACAGTCAATATTTCTTCTGGTTCTTATTTGCATATTTGCTCTCCATCAGAGGAAAACAGATGCATTTAGGTGTGAAATGCAACAGGGCATGTTTGTTGTTTCCTTTCAGAGTGATTCACGCTGTGTCATCATTTACAAATCAATGGGTCCCCTCGTATTAATTTATAATTTGGTGAATCAACATCCTGCTGATTTCACGCTGAATCACTGATGCTCCGCTCGGGCTCTTGGCTCGCGGGTAAAGGTGGGAGGGAAAAAGAGTGGGAGGGAAACAACAACCCCTAATAAAAAACAAAGAAGAGAGGGAGGGACGCTTAGAGTGGGAGAGCATGGGGAGAAAAAGAGGGGAGAGAGAGAGAGAGAGAGAGAACAAGTAGAGGAGCGCTGTGAGATGAAGTGAGAAAGCATGAAAGGAGAGATGAGAGAAAGAGGGTTTCTGCTGAGGAGAGAGATGAGGATGAGAGGAGGGAAGAGGGTGTGAGGGAGCGTGTGCGCGCATATGTGTTTGTGTGTGTGTGTGTGTGTTGAAGCCGTCCAAACACGTGACAAAGAGATACAGACTTCAGCACACAGACACGCTTGTTTCCACAACGACAACAGCAAACATGGGGGCTGTGGTGGGCACGTTGACCATGCAGACCAAGCAGAGGAGGCCGTCCAGGGGTGAGGGAATGCACACACACACAACACACAACACACACTCACACATACACTCACACTCACTTTCATTTGCATACCCTTGAACACACAACAGTTTAGTTTCTCTTTTGAAGAGAAACATGCATGCCCAAAAACTTTTAACTTCAGTTACTTGTATTTTTAAGACACACACTCACTTACTTCAGCTGAAAAGACAACACACACACACACACACACACACACACACACACACACACACACACACACACACAAGGATTAATAAGTGCTGGTGCTCAGCTTAGATGTAGTGAAAGAAAGAGAGCATATGGTGGTTCTGCGGGTGTGTGTGCGAAGTGTAGAGAGCAAGAGAGTAGGAAACAACAGGTGTTCCCAGAGGAAAACAAATCTTTGTTGTGTTTTTTTTACCACAAAGTTGCAGTTCGTTTGTGTGTATATGTGTATGTGTGTATCTGTTCACAGATATGTTCTTGTTGAATCCTTTTTCTGGCAGAGAAACCGCAGAAAAAGAACAAGAGTCAGCTTTTTTCGACTATTTTTTATTCTGCAGGTTTGTTAAAGTGTGGTTTTTTAGTGTGTGTGTGTTTGTGTTTGAGATGACGTGTGTGTCTGTTTGTTCATCTGTGTGTGCAGAAGCAGAAATTGAATGCCGGTAAACACACACACTCACACACACACATGTCGAAGGTATTTGTCACTCTGCTCACACACACCGCTTTTCCGTCTTGCTGTTACCTTGGAAGCACGGTAGCCATGGCAACAAAAGATGTCAGTTTTGGGGTGGGAGGGTATTGGTGGGGGCGTGAGTGAGTGTGCATATGTGTGTTAGAGAGGGGGGGTCTTTGATGAGACTGGGGTATTCCTGAGTGAGTCAAGGCCACGTGAGAAAGAGAGAGAGAGAGAGCGAGAGAGGGCGAGAGATGTAAATATGAAGCGTGAGCAGAAAGAGGTTTCTCTATGACGACCTGTTGCGGGAACGTTTTACTACCTTGTCACACATCGTAATAAAAACCTGCAAACCTCATTTGTTAAAATCTAACAAAAACAAGCTGGCTGCTCCGATGAGTGGGCACACAGAGCAGACGATCACTGCCAGAGACAAAATACCCTCTATTATTACTGTGCACTCATTTAAACTTATCTGTTGAGGCAGGCTATTACTGCTTTGCCAGTGCAAATTAGGCCATACAGGACATTTTCCAAGTGAGTGCATATGGCCCGTTTTATCTTTTGAATCAGCTTTTTTTTGTTGTCGTTTTCCTCGGCGGGCTCCAACAAACACCTCTCCTCATGGGCTTTAAAAAGGCAAGGCGTAAATTTGTTGCTATTTTGAATAATGAGGTGGTTGTAGAGCCGCTCGCATTGTGCAAACGTGTGAAATATGACCCTCCCTGCAGAATGAAAACAAACCTTTTTTTCCCCTCTCTCTCTCTCTCTTCAGCTAATGCCCCAGCTAAAGATGTGAAATAATGGGATGTGGAGCCGGAGCGATTTGGAGGTTGTTTATAATTCTGTTGTGATATCTGAGTGTCTCTCCTTTTCCTGTTCGCCGTGTGCTGGATTAGCGCCGCAGGGCTTGTATGTGTGCAGGCGCCCTTTTCTGTGGGGTTGCAGATAAGTTGTTATCCGGGATCATGACTCTGACAGCAACACTGAGAGGGAGTGTGTGCGCACCCCTAATGGTGTTAGATTAGATGCCTACATGATTGATCCTCAAACCCGTGAACTCGGCTCTGTGCTTAAAAAAAAACAAAAACATCCACTACATCACCATCGTGTGCCACAGAAGATTCACATTAACTTGTTTGGACTGTCTGCTTCCATCAAGACTGCCTACTGTTCCCTCCACCGGCTTTGTTTCCTGTCAAGTCGTCTCGTCTCTCTTTGACAGCCTCTCTTTGGTTGTAGTTTCCTCCTACCTGTTGTCTTGTCTGCCTGCCTCTGTCTAGCAGCTGTTTTCCTTCTTCGTCTGGAGCGGTGGCCTCTGACAACTCATCTCTCTTGCTTAATTTTCTCCTGGCATCTCCCTCCCTCCCCTGGTGAATTCTTCATTTCTTTCCAGCCTCTGTATCTCTGTCTTCCTCACTAACTCCCCGCAGCAATGTTGTCTCAATCTTCTCCCTCTCCTGTTCCTTTACTGCTGCTCCCCTGCTCCCTGTCTTATCTCGCTCTCCCTTTACTCCCTGCGTGTCTCAACCTTGTCTTCCTTTTGTTTTTCATGTCTTTTCCTCTTCTTTTTTTACCATCTGCTGTTTCCCCTCTCCCTGTTATATGCCCCTTTATTCCTTCCCACTCCTTTTCCACGCTTGTTTCCCTTTATCTTACTTCTAATTTCCCCCAACCCTCACTCTCACATGCCACCACCACAATCTGCTCTTGGCAGCCTCATCTCCATACCTCTCAACTCACTCTCTCTCTTTTTATGCCTCCATTCTTCCTCTCATTCGCCTCCTTTCTCCATCACCCACGCTCCCATTAGCTGGTGTGAGTGCTTATTAAGTCATCTCGTCATTTTCCTCCCCTGGCATCCAGCCGTGTGTGTGTGAGTTAGTGTATGTGTTTGTGTGTGTTGTTGCAGATACTCAATCTAGACATGTATTTACTCCAAAATCACTCTTGGCATCCTCCTGTATATGTATGTTTGTGTGTTTGTTTGTGTTAGTAAATTTAGATCACAGTTTGAATGGTTGATACAGTGTGTGAGGAAGTGGCATTAGGTGGATTTCTTTGTGTGTGTGTGCCTATCTGTGTGTACCCAACCGCACAACACTGCAAACACCCTTCAGCACTTTAGTCCTGCTTCACAGGCTGAGGATAAGTAAGTAAACAGACATGTGTGTGTGTGTGAGTGAGTGTGAGCGTACATGCATGAGAGTGTGTTTTGTTTATCTTAAGCAAACGGTGCTCACAGCTCAATCTGTGACCCTTGAAATAACGTGTTCGTGTTTGTCTTGTTGATAGTGTAGGACCGGCTCTAATCAAGTGTCCGAGTCTGAGTGTGTTTGTTGTGTGTTTACTGAGCAACTCAAAGGCTACTTAGAGATTTGCCCCCCGTGTCCACTGGCTCGAGTGATGACTGTGGAAAACAATATTGCGTCTTGGAGTGAGAGCTTGATTTCACGCTGTGGATCATGATTATGTTGTGCAGCTTTCTTGTGATGTTTGAAGAAATGTTGCAGCGGAGGTCTATTTTTAAGATGCTTCATCCATATTGTACCTCTGGGGAGCACACGGCCAGTCGAGCCGCTGTTTCCCTCTCCAGAGCGCTCTCCATCGATGGAGAGGCCGGTGAGAGCAAGCCCTCTCCATCGCCGCCTGGACGGCAGATTAGGGTAATTCAGATTATGCAAATGACAAGCTTTCTGGCAGGGATTACAGGACACGGTATGAGAAGAAAGGAGGAGAGCATGGCGGGGGAAGAGGGGTGGAAAAAAATGAAGGCAGAGTTTGGCAGAGTGGGAGAGATAAGAACTGAGGGAGAAATGAGAGCAAACGTTAGATACCAGAAGCAGAAGTAGTCAGTCGGGTTAAATCCTGTTTTGGGGGCCAGAGGAAACATGTTTGTTGGTGCAAAAGGTGCCTCTTGTGCGTGCTTTCTGTCTTTTTCTGGTGATTTTCTTTGCTCAAAGTTCAGGTCATCACTTACTCCTCCAGACAAGCTCTGTAAGAAAAGAGTTCAGGCTTTCGGATGATGTTAAAGTCTGTGGCTTATAATAACTTGAGTAACAAATGACACCGAAGCTTTCTGGGTCTCACAAACCTGCAGAGTTTGCAGACTTACTTTTGGATCACAGAACATGTCGTTTCTGGAGCTCAGGGTGAAAGGAAAAAACATCTCAGTGCCTCTTTATTTTGTCTGACAAGATCTTTCCTGGATCATAATTTTGCTTTTGCTCTGAGACAATCTGACGATTCACTTCTTCACTTTTGATGTGATGCACTTTGTAACTTTGTTAAAAAAGTTTGAATGCAGTCTATGATTTTTCTTATTAATACTTTGACCAAGTTTTGTCTCATTTTCATAGAGAAAGGAACAGGGTGCTCCCTGTGAACAGTGATTAAGAGCTGAATTCATAATCCAGTCCCTAATATTCACGGATGGATTACCAGGGAAAGGCCCAGTGGGTTAGTGGTCCCTCGGCAGCAGAAACTCTTTGAAGACACTGTTAATAATATATTTGTTGGAAAAATTAAAGGATTTGGTAAGAAATTGGAATAGTCTGATCTCAAAGTAGGGCATGCTTGGTTACCTCAGGGGTCGCTGGAAGCAAGAGACCCTAGCTGTCTGTGGTTGCAGAGGCAAAAACCAAACTTTGGGAGAAAGACTTTCAACTGGTCTCAAACGACTCTTGGCAGATTAATGTACAACCAAAGGAAGTCAAGGTCAAGGTTTTGTCATTTTTGAATGACTCCTGACTTCAGTATTTGGTGTGGCACAAACACATAAGACAGGAGAAGTCTATCATTTACTCAAATTTAATGACATTTCTAAAAATGTCAAGGTGTTGAATCTTGTCTAGAGAGGCAGCATCACACTCTAAATTGATAAAAGTAGACGACATCCATCCAGTAAACTTCCAACCAGAGCATGTATTAGAAAAACATATTAGAAAAACATGAGAAAACTTTGTCATAAAAAGTCTATGAGTTACCACTTAATAAAACAGTTAGTATTGAGCTCAACCCCTGGCTTTCCCCCTCTCGACTCTCAGACGTACTGATTTGAGGATGTCCACACAGATGATTTAGTGGTTGCCAAGCAACCGTTTTTAAAGCTCTGCATTCTTTTTGATTCTATACAAAAAAGCAACTCGTCTCATTTTGCAAAGGACGCTGTAAACATAATATAAAAACTCCTAAGGCAAAGACGCCTTTGAGAAATAGAAAATGTTCCTCACTGCATACAGAAAACACAACGTCCATCTATTCACACTCTGACTTTTGGATCTTTTGGTGGATTTCAGTTTGTTCTTTCCCTGAATAAGTCTGTAAATCATCCACCTGAATGATAAACTGTTTTGTGTGTCCTGAAATTTTACTTCACATCACATACCTGGCTGATTTACACAGGATTAAAAACACGGACATGTCCAACCTGCTCCTCCAGTGTTTTGTGGAGGTTTGGGACACCCCTGCAGTGGAGTAACAAACTAGGTTGTTTTTTTTTACACACCTCAATAAAGAGGGGAGGGATGGTGTTTATCATCATGAGAAGGATGTTACACTGTTCTGCCTCTTCTGAAAAACGATTCCAGGGAGCTGGAATGGAGACCTCAGCATGCCTGAACAATGCGGACTCTCTCCTATTTGTGGAACGGAGGACCTGTGAGGGATGCCGCAGGGATATGGGACACTAATTCTGTTGCGACAAGCTATCAAGTCCTTTTATAACCAAAGTGATAGCTGTGTCTCTGTGGTCTGTACTCTCGACACAAAATCAAGCATTTCCTTGATCAGTGTTGGCCTCAGTCAGGGTTGTTTCTTCTCATTATTTCTGTTTGTGATTTTCATGGACAGGATCTCAAGGTGCAGGCTTAAGGACCTTGGGTTTTTCCTCTGCTTGTTTTAGACAATGTGGTTCTGTTGACTTTATGAAACTGTGACCTCTAGTGGATACTGGAGTGGTTTGCAACTGAGTGTGAAGTAGCAAGAATAAAAATCAGGCCACCATTGATGTTCCAGGTCATAGTTCCCCATCTTTAGGGTGAGAGTTCCTGCTTCAAACAAAGGAGCTCGAGTATCTTGGGCTCTTGGTCATGAGTAATGGTAAAACTGGATGTATAGGGCTGGTTAACTGTCAGTTCTGAGTGTTATGTTACTGTCATGGTGATAAAGCGTACGTTAGATCATCCATCTTCATTTCAGCCTTTGCATAAAACGATAAAAAACTGCACCATCAGCCAGTAGCAGGAAGTAGAAGCTGCAGCATGTAGCTGCCTCTTCTGGGTACATCTGGCAGGAGGAGTCTGTGGTGGACCCAGAGCTTGCTCGAGGGATTTAATATCCCATCTGGCTTAGGAAAGCCTTAGGATCCCCATCAACGGGTCTGAAAACATTGCTTGGTAGAATGAAGTCTGCGCTTATTTCTCTAACCTGATACTAATGCACGAACGGATGGTTTTCTCGTACGCTCTGCCTTTGTAACTTAATGAGAGAAATTTAGCTGATTGGTCACAGCAGGACACAGCTGAAGGTTGATTACTTCAATGAATGCAATTTGCTCTCAATCATCCTTATCATGCGATGTTTACAACACCGCGTATCTTTTAAATATCAGGCAAATTAAATTTAATGCTGCTCTTGTCACTGAATTTAATTTTTCCGAGCACTGCCGCCGTAGTTATCACAAGGTTAAATTGTCTACTCTGTGGGAAACCTTTGATACAGCAGAGTCCCTGCTGTCTGCACACTCCCAGTTAACAGACAATCACAACATCTTTGAACAGTCGTATCAAGAAGACTATAATTTAGTGCCAGATAGTCGAGGCAAGGAGATGCAATATAGAAAAGAAAATGTGATTTTTATTGTGATACTTCAATGCCAGATGTTAATGTTTGACATCTGGAGGGAAAAAAAGACATTTAACGAGACTTGAAAATGTGTATTTCTCAGTATCATCTCTATATGACAGAAAATATCAGCTTAATCTTCTATGTAATTACATGTAATGAATCCTTATCAGAGGCTTTGTCACACTTCGGCGTCCTCTGTAAGTGTTTGCTGCCCCCTGCTGGTAAAAACACATTATAGCAGGTTATATAGTCGGGTTGCTCTGCTTTCTCCATTATGAGGCTCATTTAAAATCCACAATATGGATCAGGATGAATGATGTGCTCTAACCAGGCATAATCTTAATAATCACAGATTTAGATGTTGTTTACATTGTAGAGCGGGTCTTCTCTAAAGGACTGAGCCATGTTTAGTCTGAAAAGTGACTTTGTTGTAAATTAAGCCTCTGTTATTTGGGGACGAGTGTGCGTCTTAATGGAGCCTATTAATCAAGTGCTGAACTTCACTCATACACACACACACAGAGTGCAGATACGGTCATACAGTAGAAGGGGAGTTTATCATTGTTGCGGTTTGCTCAGGTCGGACCCTGGAGTTGAGGCTCTGTTTCCAAAGAGTGAAGGACACAAGGACTGAAACAGAGGGGGGGAGAGGGGTTGATCAGAGAGAGAGAGAGGGAGAGAGAGAGAGAGAGAGAGAGAGGGAAGGTTAGGATGAGAGCGGGATTTGCCCCTGGGAGCAGAGAGGCAGGGGGATAAAAAGACAGGGATAGAGTGAGTCAGGTGTGTGCTGATCTCATTGTAGGAGAAGCAGAATGGATAGAAAGTTTAGAGGCGTGGGACAGATAGAAAGAGACATACCAGGGAAATACCTCAGTTGGACTTAATTTGGGATAACACAGACAGCATATCCAAGTTTAGAAGTTGGATAATTCTTACAGATTTCTCCTCGATCGAAGTGTGCAAATTTAAAACCTGCTCAGAGTGAAAGGGTGAGAGGTAAGTGAAAAGAAAAATGGAAAAGGAGCCGCAGAGTGAGAACAGCTTGCACACTATAGCCATCATCCTTCTGTGCTGTGGGGCCGTCAAAATGCTGCACCTACTGGGAGTCATCAGTGTGGATGGTGAGTCAGTGAGTACTACGACTTCTCTCCTTGTGATCAGCAGCTGATGGAAAGAGCGGGGTTTGAAGGAGTTAGGTTCTTGATTCTGGACTTGTGTGAACTTCTACAGTGATAGTTCAAACTCAAATTAAAAGTAACTGAAAAAGCAGTGGCAAATACTGAAAAGCATAGTTTGATATTTGTAACTTCAAAAAGTATGCTAGTGGTAAGACTGTGCCCAGCATAGCACTCTTGGTCTCAAGGACTTGTGTGTTTCATTTTTGCTGGCGTTGATCTCCTTTTCACTGACATAGTTTCATCGACTGATAATAATTCTGCCATAAAAATAGTGCTGTCTATGATAATATCAGATTTTAGCAGTGTTCAGAAAAGTGATCCTCATGCAGCAACAACTTAAAAAAGGAAAAACTTTGATGATGACTGTAACTGATAACAATTGCGTCCTTCATTTTTGAAGTTAGTAGATATTTTGTCAGAGTTTGATGCATTTGACAAAAACAAAACTATGTAATTTACAGATACTTACATTTAATAGCATTGGATGTATTGCCTTACATCGTATACACATGGCTTCCTATTTCTATTCCTTTCTATACTTTAATGTAGTTGTACTGTAATGTTAGTTTCTCTCCATCCACAAAGACAGCCTTTTATGAAATACTTCCTCCCTGATTTGATTTTTATAATTACATTTATTTCTCCTGTTGAAGAATATAAAACAATCTAATAAATACAGCACAATAAAACCAAGAGGTATAAGAAAGAGCACCCCATATAAGCTTTCAAAGGCTATGAGAAAGGCGCCCAGACAAATAAGAGCAAATAAAAAGTAGAGCACAACTAACTAACAAGGTCATACATTTTTTATCAACTCTTTGAAGAAGAAAGAGATTAAAATATAAATACTGACAGTTTCTGACTCGTCCATTTGTGGTAATATTGAAGCTAAGTTACTTCTCTTCACAGGCAAAAAATACATTTTGCTTTACAGTCTGTTTTTAAAACTCACCCATCTCCTCGGACTATCATCTTTAAAAATCTTAATACTGCAGCTCTTATTGTGACATACATTATAAAAAAAGTATGTTAAATCTGAGGCATAATTTAACACTGTACTCTGAGACAGGATGCTCTATACTGTGTGTGTTTGCAGGATCTGCATGTTGTATGATTGTGACATTAAGGTTTAAAGACAGTCTGAAGACTCAGTGGAGCGTCTGAGGAATGAATATTCTCAGATTATAAAGTGTACAAATGATTCAGTCTCACTGTGGAGTTTAAAACCTCATTAAACTAAGATGGATGATAAAACTCTGAGCCAGTTTGATGTTCTTCTACTTTTAAAGTGTGTGAGGAAATATCTAAAGATCAGTCGAACCTGTGAGTTGATACCAACTCTTTGTGTATGTGTGTGTCTAAGAGGTAAGTATCTCAAACAGCAGTAGAGTCATAATGCACTTATGCACGCATAATTGGAGAATTAGTGGCAACTGTGTAATAATTTCTTGCTGGATTGCAGAATGTGTTATTTAGTTTTATCTCGACTCATTTTAAGGTTAAATAAGTTGGATTTTTTCTTACTAAATAATCATATTCTGTGGAGCCAAACTTTAGAAATTAGTTTGCTTTTGTTCGTAATGCAACATCATAACTGATTTCAGCAATTAAAACCCACTTTGCTCTTAAAGCAGCTCTTCTGCATAATTATTCAGTTCTTTACTATCTATGCAGATGATCGCACAAAACTTTGCTATGTATTAAAAATAAACAATGGATTCAGAATCTGTAAATGCTCCACTGTTGACTAAGGTCTAATTTAGCTGCAGTTTTTGTCGAGTTGTCTCTCATGATACTGCTCAAATGGCGACCATAACTCACTTAGAGAATAGAGCTGAAGAAGTCTAAGTGTAATGAAGCTTTACAACGCACTAATGGCCACCTGCTCGTACAGATAAAATGTTTCTATTTCAAGACTGTTGATGTTTCAGAATGTGTTTTGCCGAGGACAGCATGAATGTTGACCTCTGTGGCTCTTCATTAAAGCCGAGCAGGAGTCCTAAAAGAGACTGCTGGATGATCTGGCTGTATCAGAGTTCATTGATACTGCAGGGGCACATCAGACACTGTTGTAACCATCATCTGCAAAGGATCTCCCCAAGCCGACGAGTCTCACCTAGACTACAGAGCTGGACGGGTCAAGGATGAACAATCAACCACTGATCTAAAATGATCTTCGTTTAACCTTCCATTGTATCACTTAACAACAAATAACGTCTTTTTTCCAGTCTTGTGTTTGACTTCTCTATATCATATGACCTCTTTCTCATATTCTGAGTCTTTATTACGGCTCTGTGAAATTATGCACAGTCACAACAGTATGCATAATTATACAGTAGATGGCTGCAGGAAGTGTGTGCTCGCTTTAGCAAGAGTGAGTGAGATGGAGAGAGAAGTGTCTTTTACACAGTCACATCCACCTATTGGTGCTGTGTGTGTGTGTGTGTGTGTGTGTGTGTGTGTGTGTGTGTGTGTGTGTGTGTGTGTGTGTGTGTGTGTGTGTGTGTGTGTGTGTGTGTCTCAGAGGTGGTGGTTTGTCCTCTTGTCCCTCCCCTCCCCTCCCCTCCAGCGAGGACAGTAATGAGTTGTTAATCAAAGGGCTAGTGAGAGGAGGAACATTGAGCTGTTAGACTGACCTCTACATCAGACCAGCTCTACCGCCCATCCTCTCCCCGCCCTCTTCGAAAAGTTTTCAATAGAAAATATGGAAAATATTTCAAACTCGAGTCGCTGAGCCCTCTTTTTTTAATTTTTTATATTACCTGGATTATTCAGCTTCCCTTCCTTAAGTGTACTGTGTCTGTGTGTTTCTTCAGACAAGGCCGACGATGACTTGGAGATGACCATGGTGTGCCATCGACCAGAGGGCCTGGACCAGCTAGAAGCTCAAACCAACTTTAGCAAAAGAGAGCTCCAAGTGTTATATCGAGGCTTCAAAAATGTGAGTGGATGTAAAGATACACGATCATCTTACACAAGTTTCCGTGATTGAATGTCTTAAACTTGCCATAATTTAAAAAAAAACTAAACTATGGTTAAACACAGTTTCACTTTGGAGTGAGCATAGAGAGATTACAGGTTACAGGGACAACTTCAACCTAGAGCTCAGAATCCAGTTTGATCATTGTTGAAGTCACAAGTGAAGAAGGGGACTGATAGTTAACATCTGAAATATTTCAGTCCTGTTGTAGTTTCTGGGGTAAAACCAGTCCTCCACAGCAGTTTTAACTACTGTGAAGTTGGGGTGGTTGAACACCAGGCGACTCATGATACAATAGAAGATATGTGGCCCATAATAAGAGTATTCAAGTGTTTGACAAGCATAAATGATTTGTGCCTAAACCTGTCCCAGTGTTATCCTTAAACTGAAAACATGTAAACTACTTTTTTCTGTCTATGAACAACTGTTGGTTATATTTGCCTGGTTTCAATAACTGCTTGACTACGGGGTCCTGGAAAGTATTAAAAGTCAGTTTAGCAAAATCAAAGGCTGATAAAACGTCTGTAAGGCCATCTTGATCATACAACAGAAGTTGAGAATTTGTTCACAGAGTTTGTGCACTATTAGTTTGAATTTTTATGCATTTTGTTTGTTTAAAATTTTGATTGAGTTAGTCTGTATCTGTTTGGCTGTCTCTGATCTGTGCCATCTGAAAAGGCCAAATGTTGTTGTTTTTTTTTTGTGCTCATTCCACCAATCCACCAACTGACTACTATCAGCTTGGACAGGCTGAGCTCAACTGCATTTATAGCCACTATGAAAACAAAATAGTCAAAGCCCAACTTTATTTTGCTGGATCAACATTTTTCCATAGAAGTAATTACAAACTGTCGACTTTTCTGTTAAAAAGTTATTGCTAAAACAGGAGTTACATCTTCAGTATTATAGTAAAGGAAGTTAGAGGTGTGTTCCTGACATAATGATTCATGACTCCAAGTGGCATTGGCCTGTAACTTCAAACTGGGTCTCCTTCAGTCTTCTATTCCTCTGTCCTCTTTGGGAAAACTTCTACAACATGAGCAGGAATACTGAATTCTCTCCTTTGTCTTCTGAATTCACCAGCACATCTCTGACCTTCTTTTCCCCAGTCTGATATACAGTATGTTTCAGTCTTCTACGTCTCTGTTTTGCTGCGTTAGTTTCCTCTTTGGTCAGTTAACCGCTGTTCATGTGACTCTCATTGATATCACTGCCCCCCCGTGGGGACTCATGAGGTAGTGTTGCAGCGTGGCAGGGGAATTTATCTAGGGCAGTGTGATATTCAACACATGCATGCTCCTCCACCTGCAGCACACTGATCAGGTGTTTGGGTCTGTGGGCTTCAAACAGAGAAAAACACCATAAAACGAAATAATGAGTGATGCTGACCGTGTCATGTTGTTTACTGTGATACATGCTGACAAAAATCTCAAACAACTCCACTTAAAAAAAACAGAACTATCCCTTTATTACAGTTTTTAAGTCGTTTTTAACACTCGGTCACTCTCTGTACGTCCTGAGCTTGAGGGTGATCTCTGCGGTTTAACTCTCCCTCCTCCTCCCCCTCATGCTCTGTCTCCTTTGTCTTTCCAGGAGTGTCCCAGTGGTGTTGTGAATGAGGACACTTTCAAGCAAATATACTCACAGTTCTTCCCACATGGAGGTAAAGAGAGGGTGTGTGTTGTGCTTTTGCATCACCTGTCTTTATCTCCTGAATTCATCTGAGGTGTTGTCTTCCTCTGCAGATGCCAGCACCTATGCACACTTCCTGTTTAACGCATTTGACTCAGCACACACCGGCTCCATAAAGTTTGAGGTGAGCTTGATTTTTACACTTTTACTTTTTTCAAACAGATTATCTGGCTGTGTCAAGTTTAAATAAAACTGTTTCTGGTTTTAATTTCCAAAGTGGGACTCCTTTTTTTGTCTCTGCATCAGGATTTTGTAACAGCTCTGTCCATCCTGCTGAGGGGAACTATCACTGAAAAGCTGCAGTGGACCTTTAACCTTTACGATATAAACAGAGATGGGTATATAAACAAAGAGGTGAGTGTTTGTGTGTGTTTGATGAGTGCATGTTTGAAATATGGTTCGGTGTTATCAAAAACGCACTTTTATTCTGTTTGACAGGAGATGACAGACATTGTGAGAGCGATATACGACATGATGGGGAAGTACACTTACCCTGTTTTGAAAAATGATGCACCCAAACAGCATGTGGATGCCTTTTTTCAGGTGACAACCTCTGGATCTCTTACTGCTGTCTAATAAATAAAAACACCAAAATAACAAAAACAAATAAAAATAGACAAGGATGCACAAGTAAAAATTATGATTTACATTTCAGCTTGTGGTCATTATTCAACGTTAATTTAGAGAATAAATCGCAAACAAAAATATATTTATAATATAATGTGCAGAAAAAGAAATGAAAAGAAAACTAAAATGATTAAAAATAAAGGTTAAGTGGTCTTTGAAAAGTGCAGAATTATCATACGACTGAAATGATCATTACAAACCTTAAACTAACAGCTTGAAAATATTTTGCTTTGCTCTCCACAGAAAATGGACAAAAACAGAGATGGAGTGGTAACACTTGATGAATTCATCCTCTCCTGTCAAGAGGTATTTTCATTTTCCCTTCCAGGATCCTTTAACCTTTACAAAGCAGACATTTTGACATGTTTCTGCAGGAATACAAGCTGCCAAATATGCAACTGTGAAACTCGTGAATTTCACCTTTTTCTTCTCCTGCAATAAAAGCAATAACATGTGCTGTAAACATCGGCCTTTTGCTACAAAAATAATTTCACTTACCTTTCACAAACCGTTTTTCTGGCTTTTTGCTCATTAACCTCCTCTGGAAATCTCACAGCCCTCGCTATTAATTTTGGTGTTTGTCTGCTTTTATAGGTTTGTCTGCAGAGAGAATCATTGACTAACACTTTTACAGGCTTTCACTGCCCCCTAGTGGCCAGTAAACAGAATTAAATGGTGTTTGGTGGGACCCTTTCAGCTTTTCAATCTCGTTTGTGCAGGATGAAAACATCATGAGGTCTCTGCAACTCTTTGAAAATGTCATCTAACCGACTAACGATGGAGCAGGAGAAGAGGCAACAGAAAAAACACAGGCATGTGTAAAGAACGAGGAACAAGGAGGAGGCACGGTTACGCAAAAAAGTACATAAACAAGGACCTTGTGACTCGGTGTTGGATCCAGAACTTCATGGAAAAGCATTTTGCTGTAACCAGTCAATGCCGACAAACCATCACAGGTTTCAGAGAAGTCCTTCAGACTTCAACCCTTCATTTGATCCGTCTCTGTCTCTCTTTTTTTGCTGTTTATACAGTTACAGACACTTTGGACATTATGTAAATAAATACTGATTCTCCTAAACTGGTTGAAACTTTTCTGGACTATGTAAATCAAACAAAAATGATCAAGCTGGACAGGAAATCCTTACAGTAGCTTAGCAGTAAGAGTAAACTGAAACAGACTTTTGGGCTTAAATTAAAATTGTAGAACTTTGGCTTTGGGATAACAAAAGTGAACAACATTGTGAAGTATGCACAGTAGAGGAATATGTAACGCAACATATGTGCCATACAAATACTTGTGTGCAGTTTACTCTGTCCAAGTGCATACACTTGGTAAGCAAAGGTCTGAGCGGAGGCACTTTTTCTCTTGATCCATGTAAATCGCACAGTCCTGGGAAGGTCTGCAGAGCTGACTTTGACCTCAGATAGCTTGCATTCATCTCCTGACAGCTTGCAGCAGCCTTTAAATCTCCTCCTGTGAGTTTTCTAGTAGTGTCTGTTAGTGTTTTAATGTTATAACAACACAACGTAAGATATTTAATGTGGTGTTTGTGGCTTTTTTCTGCTGTACGGGGCATTCGTCTGTCTGTGTGATCCAGTTCTGCCTATCTGTCTATCTTTCTGTCAGATAAAACTAAATTGTAATGACTCACCTGACATTCATTGTTGAATAAAAAATCTGTTTAGGGGTTTCCTAGAGTAAAGATGCAGGGCCGTGCATGTGTTTGTATGTGCGTGGTGTCCTGACGTAAGGTGTCTGTCTTCCTGAATAAAATTTGCTGTTGCATGTTGCTACATCTTGTGGACGCTGCTGTCAGTCCACCTGAACAGGCTGTATTTCTGCTAAAGATGAAAGATTTTTTTTGTCGCAAAACGCCGACTGAGAGCGACCAACATTTCACTGTGAGGGACAGACAGAGGAGCAGAAGGACTGTTGAGAAAAACAGATGATGAGAGAGACCTTTTCACTGATTCTGAAGGAACGGAAGCCATGTTTCACACAAGAGCCATCGTGTTGAAGATTGAGCGGGACAAAAGTACAGATTTATAGATGATTTCCTGTCATGCCCACTCACTGTGCTACCCATAGTGTAATAAAGCTCTGGCTTGTATCAAATGTTCCCAGACATACTTCAGATAGACTGACAGACAGGTAGATAAACAGATAGACAGCTTTAAACTGTCCAAATAAAATTGTGCGTGTTAAAATGTTGTATAAAATCATTATATTTATCAATAAACTTTTCAAGAAATTAAATTAATGTCTGTTTTTTTTAACCTTATATCTGCATTATATTTCTTTACAGCTCATAATTATGAAACGTAAAAATCATTTTTATACTGCATGATAAAGAGCGAGAACAAAAAGAGTCACAAGAACGCTTTATACTGTTATTTACACATATACAGAGAAAGTACAAAAACAATTGTACATTTGAGCCTGCATCCCAGAGGACGCGGCCCACAAATAAAGCATGATAATGTGCATATGAAAAAATGTCACCACCATCACTAAACATGCATCACTCCTTTTATTACCCAACTTACAGCCACTTTCATATTGTCTGCACTTCTCTTCCCTCTTACCGGGGCATCTGTTTTCTTTTTATTGCCGTTCACAGAAGAATTTCCACTATTGTTTGAACACAGTGCCCGAGCACCAAACTGTGCTCGGCACAGGTGATTGGAGTTATTTTGGGTACATTTATAAAAGTAGATCAGAAGACGGTTTACGGTTTAAGCACCAGTAATCCACAAATGATCCAAACAAGCTTTTAAAAGCATTTTGTGAGATTCTTTTGTTTTGATTTGTATTCAAAATAAATGAGGATGCTTATTTAAAATACATTTGTTTGGTTCTCATTTATTATGAAGGTGTTTTAGATTCGGCTCCTTAAAAAAGCTTATTTTCTATAGTATAGTTATGTTTGTTTGGCTGCACTGAGTGGAAAAACCCTTGTAAATCATTTATCAAGCGTAACTTGGTGTAAAGAATATTTTTACTTTTTCAGGTCTGCTGGGTAAATTTCTGTCTGCTTCTTATTCTAATAACTAGAATAAGCACAGGCATAACAAGTACAACCACAGGGTGACATTAAATGTTATAGACAAGTTCTCTCTCCTCTCTGGATGTGAAAAAAGTCTCAGGTATTGAAGATTTAATCCAAGAAAGATTTGTTCAAAGGCAGGCACCACTTACCACCGTCCAAGGTCCATCACCTCAAACAGATGGGACTGTTTCTTCATTTTTTTTTCTCCATTTCATGGATCAAACGTTCATCCCACTGTCTTCATGTAGGTCTTATTTAATATGTTTATCCTCACAGGGACCCTGCTTTTTGAATACAGTGTGGTGTCAGGGTTCTATTCCCTGTCCTCGGCCCAGGGTTGGAGGTTCTGCAGGGCGTACAGGGAGGAGTTATGGGCGCACAGTGGGTCCGACACCGCTGATTCGCTGAGGGACTTCTGGAGGGCGGACTGCTGGAGCTGCAGGATGAGCCGATTGGCCTGCTGACGCTCCGCCTCCCGCTCCTCGGCTGTCTGTCTCCTGATGGAAGAGAGAACAAATCAAGCTTTAGTGGAGTTATACAAAAATGTGAAATGTTGAAGACATAGACAAGAAAATAAAACAACAATTGTACTAAAATTATATATATTTAGATGCTCTTAAGTGACAACGGTGATAACTCTGGATTGAAAATAAAAGTATGTCTTAAGCAAAGTTTAGTAAGATTTGTTTTTAAAAAGCAAAACTAACATTTAGGATTTTGTCTTGATTTTTTTTAAACGATTGGTTAAAACTACAATTAACATAATTTCATGAATAATTGATTTTATTTACGTTTTTAAAAACGCCAAATAGAAAAAGGAAAAAGGGAAATAAAAATAAATTACAATTAAATCTCTTAATTTTTTTTTAATTTCTGGTATTTTGTGTACTTCGTTTTTTTTTCTTTCTTTTGACTTCCGTGTCAACAGGTTCAATCAACCGGAAATAGGGCGTGCACGGGGTCACTTTTAAAAAATCAAAGTTTATTTTTCCCCGGATGTTTACACAGATGTAATTCCAGGTTTACCGTGTCAATTTAACATAAATACAGTTTGAAATAAAAAATAAAGACAGTTTATCCACAAAGTTATTGTTGTTTTTCATACCGACCTCCACTTGGTCCTGCGGTTCTGGAACCAGGTTTTGACCTGCGCGTCCGTCATCTTCAAACTCTTGGCCAGGGCAGCCCGCTCGGCGCTGGCCAGATACTTCTGTCTGTGGAAACGTTTCTCCAGCTCACAGATCTGAACCCTGGAGAAGGAGGTTCGGGGCTTTTTTCGCTTTGGGGGAGTCCGGTTCTGGTACGGGTGTCCTATCCTCCGCGTGACGGCGAACGGAACCAGAGCAGCTGCGGCGAACAGAGAGAGAGGAGAGACAACCCGGTGAGTGAGTCAGTGAGTGCAAGAGCAAAGATTTTACACAGAACTAAACAGAATAATAATTCACCCTCCACTCTGTATGTAAATTTAAGGCCATAGATCACACACACATCTGCACTGTCTGACAACAAACCCCAATTTCCACTAGTGTGTAAGCCACGTGAGAGAAATGAGGGGGAGGTTTATGGAGAAATATGAGTCTGGACAGTCTTTGAAATGGAGCTATTAAAGAAAGTTGTGATAAAATCCTGTTTGGGGTTGAAAAGATGGATTCACATCTGTGATCTCTGGATTTGGGTTCTTTTATTATTCTTTACACATCTAAGGAAGGCCTCTGCTCATCGAGGCTCCAGTAGTCTACACCTCATCCTAAAAGGACGGATCTGGATCAGTGCTGAGCTACAGTTTTCTCACAATTTAGAGTTGGAGATTCTGGCTAAGACACTTGACTTGTATCTGCTCCTGGTGTGTGAACGTGGTTAAGCTTGTTTATGCTGATGGGAGACTGACTTGGCTGCTCCTGCTGTTAGTGTATGAATGTGGTGTGAATAGGTGAATGTGAAATGTAATGTATTAGCGCTCTAAAGGGGACAGAAGAGTGGAGAAAGCGATATAAACCCATTCATTTAACTCTATTTATCTAATATATGAGGCCCATACTCTGGACCTGAATTTTTTATTATTATTGTCGTGTTGTAATTTCTGTATTTAATCCCTATTAGAGAGATAAAAGTACAACATTGACACTTAAAAGCCTGTTCCTATCCATTTTAAATTCTCCATTAAATAAAGTAAATCACCAAAACTGCAATTTCGACAAACCATACTGTTGTTATTTAATACTTAACACAATGTAAACCCAATTCTTTAATTTAATCCAAATGATTTTTTAAATAGAAAAATAATATTCAGCTCTGGTCACATAAGTAGGTTCAGTAGTAAAACATAAATAGGTCCAATACTGATGTTAATATTTATAAAGACAGTTTAAAGAGCCCAGCTGTATCTTAAGTGAGCACATTTCTGTTGGCTGTCAGTAAGTGGTCACAGATTGAAACCATGCGGGCTGACAGCTGTCCCACCTGATATTCTGTCCTTAGCGAACCTGTTCCCTATCCAAGGAAAGCAAAGTCCTCCAAAACCGGGAACAGCGCCCTGCACGGGAGCTGGGGGTCCCGGGGCTGTCATGGGTCTGTGCGCCGGGACACGGATGACTCCCCGGCTGCCCAGACCTCTGCTTTCCCCGTATGATCCCGCAGCCTCCACCGGGGGCATGATACCGGAGAGGGAAATGGACAAGGCGGTGTAGGAGGGCGCGCTGGCCCCGGTCGGGCTTCCTAAACTGTAATAACCGTCCCCGCTGTTTAGATCGGATCCACTTTGTCTCCCGGCTGTGCGCCCGCTCTCAGGCTCCGTACCGGCACCCAGGATCTGGTCTATGCCGAAGCTGATGGGCTCGTGGTGGGCCGGTTTGGGAGGAGGGCTCGGTGCTTGCTCCATCCCTGTCGCTCTGTCGCAGGAAAAAAAAGAACTACAGGAGATGATTCGGGAGGATTCACAGCAGGGTCAAATTGCACCTAAAGCCACCGCCAGTTGTGTCTCCATTGCTGCCCAGTTGTGTGTCCCAGAATCCTACGAGTCCTCGTTGTGTCTAGGCCTCCTTCAGAGGACTGGCTCCTCTCTACAGGCTGTGAGAAAGTTTGATGGGCGTTTGGAGAGATGTGACGCTCTGTCCTCCTCTCAGCGCGTCAAAACGCTCCGTCTGGCTGCTCCGTCCTCCTCCATCCTTCTCCACCTTTCATTGGCTGGCACCGTAATGACTGATTGAATGTTAATGGGGGTAGGCCCGCAATTTGGCACAATAACTAAGACTTTCCATAATCATAACCACTGCGGGCGTCAGATTGTTATGTTCAAAGGGCAGGAATTGGCAGTCTATGAGTGAGTCTGTATCTGAAGTTGCCGATTTTTGTCTTCATAAAGGGGAGAGAAGGAGAGACGAGTTTGTTGAATTTATTTAGCATATGTAAGAAAATCACAGATCTTCACTATTCATCTTCTATGCGTCCTCAACATTTTAAGCAAATAGCGTTTCGTCAGTCATCTGTCAGTGTTCAGCTTATTCAGTGTGGACAGGTTCATAAGTTTTATGACAAATGACACCAGAAGAAAGAAAAAAAAAACATCAACTTTGCATACCTCAGGGTCCGATGAAATGATGCCTCTTCTCCCCACTTTCCAGACGAGACGCGGCGCACGCCTCGTTTGTCCTCTTGCTGCCTGTGTCGCCTCTTTATTGATACATGTGGATTTTACGGTGATATTAATAAGTTGTTTGATCGAGAAGTGCTTCGTAGCCAGGAGACAGTTTGTCCAGGATATAGTGAAAAATAAGGGAACAAAAGGAAGATACACTATGAGGCTACATTTATATCCCCTTTAATTTAAAATCCCTCACACAGTCATTACCTTTTAATCACACGTGGAGTTATTTTTATAGTTTCTTGACGCTCGACTGGAATGTGGTTTTTAATGTTTAACTATTAAACATGATCTTTATGCTAAAACTGTGAAAATGAAATATTTTCCAACGACCAAATGTATCACGAGTAAAGCCTTCGATAAAAGAATGTAAGATGCAGATGGATCACACATTTTCAGATATTTCACGCGTGTGTTTTGGTTGATCTATTATTGAAAATATCGTAAATAATGTGAAATCGACTGAAATATTATTAATAATTCATTTAAATAGATGTCATTATTCAACAAAGGTATTGGAGATTTATTTAAACAGAATGAAGGTGGTAAAACAACTTTTTATTGTGCGTAATTACGCACATGAACCCATCTGTCCCCTTTTAGAAATAAAAGGACAGCAGCCCTGACTGTAAACACCAGCACCCATCGCGGGTGGAAAAGCACTACGTGGCCTTATTTGTTCCTGGTTGCCAGCGCCACATTAAATGACCTGACAGGGGAAGGCCATGGGCTACTCCAGATAAAGTGTCCGGGCTCTGGAAGCGGCTAACCGCTCAGATTCAATGTAACAGGCGCCCAAAGTGACCAGATAATCACATTTCCACTAACTTGTCGCAGGGACAGACAAATGCGCGTGGGGTTCAGTTGCGGCAGGTGGCTTTTTAAGCGATCACATTACAGGACTTTAACAAACTAATGGCCAACATATTCATTTAGTGACAGTGGGATTTATGCGTGTGGACTTTTAAAAGATCCACCCTACCCGATCATTAATCATCAGCTGAAGGTCATGATTTTAATACGGAAAATCGATCAGTTATTGCCCCTTATTTGTCATAGTTTATCAGTTTTTAATGTCTGGAAATGTCCACGTGTTTGACCACTGAAACTCTGCAAAGACAGAAAACCAAGTCTGAATTATCGACTGATATTTAATGCACTAAAACATATATTTCTATCAGGAAATGCTTTGAGTTATGAGTTAATAAAAACTACAGGGAAATGCAAACGGTGCTGCGTTTGGTTATATATATTTTTTTAAAAGCGTCTCATCACCTCAGCCTTCACAATAAAGGCTTAGAAAGCAATATAAGATGGGACAAGGCCCGAGGTGTTTGTTTGGCAATATGGACAGACTGAGTGTTGGCCGCCTCAGCCCGCCATATGTGAGCTCACCGGTGGCTTTTGATGGGGGAGAATTGGTCTGTTAGAGCTGTCAGCTTTGTGGACATTTTTATGTTGTGTTTATCTTCATGTCATTTGCAAAATAATAAACCCCAAAGTAGCCATGCTCCTTTTTTTTTAAACTAATGTACAATAAATAAATCAAATTCAGTTGGATTACTTGGCGACTCCACAACAGTGCGTTTTTAGAGTTTTCTAAAAGTAAATAATTATTGCATCCGTCCTAAAAGGACACAGTGAAGGCAGTTTCCTTCAGCCTGCACGGAGCAGACGGGGTCCCACTGGTTGCAGATGTTGGGTGTTAGTAATCCGGTGTAATCCAATGATTATGCGCGATTATGACACATTAGCTCTGACCTACCGGGATACCACCGTGACTCCGGTTCATCCAAAACGCACCAGGAGAAAACCCCCATCCCACCTCCTGTCAGCCTTCTCTGAATTTACTGATAGTCTGCAGACACTGTTGGGTCATGATTACAGCAGAAAGGTATAGAAAATAATTGATACCAAGAGTCCACTTTTAAACACACACGCACACGCCCTTTATTTAAAAGGCAGCCTTAAGTGATCTCGTTTGGGCCAAAATATTTAGATGGTGGTTCTGAAAAGCCTGCAGCGCACACGAACAATTAAGATGCGCATCAATCCTCGTTTTTTTCCATAGGCAATATAAATGCTGACACCCTGATTCCAAAAGTCCAAAAAGAAACGACAACAAAAGAGTGAAAGAGTGCGATTTGTTTGAGAAATTACCACTTGATCTGCATAATCGGGGGTCTGGGCTGCAGCTCGGTACCCGGGGGCTGCGTTTTTATTGCGCGTCTCTTCGCCGTTATCAATTTCAGCAGCGCGCCTGACTTTTTAAAAGGGGGACGAGGCCGGCTGCCTCTGAATAATGAATGACACGCTTTTATATTGTCGCTAAAGTGCCCGTGATGTTACAATATGAAAAGGCAGCGGTAAGTAATAGTGCATTTAAAGGGGATGTAGTGTATTATTATGATGTAAAAGAGAAGCAGAGAGGCGGTGCAGAGAGGGAGATGAGTGCAGAGAGAGAGAGAGGAGAGAGAGAGATTGTTTTATTACAATAAGAGGAGATGAGTTTGCCTCGCAGCGAAATGGGGACCAGTTAATGAAACTTTACCGCAGCTAACGATTTCCCCTCCCTCGCTCTAAAAACCGCCCTTATGAAATATTTAAACTATTTAATATAGGTAGTATTAAGCTGAAAGACACGGGCATCGGCCATCTGACAACATTTACAAGGCTGTGGATTCCTTAAAGTTGGCTAAACAAAGCTTTACGGCCTCCTCTCCCTCTGCCTCACATACAACAGAGCCTCTGCACTAAATCACGCTCATATTGAGAGCAGTATAGTGCAAATGTGTTTAACTGTTGGGAGACTTGATTTAGTCTAATTTACACTTCTCTCCACACCATGCCGTGTGTCTTTTTCCACGCGCAGATGCAGCAGTTTAAAGGCTCATCATCCTATCAATATAAACCTGTCTTGTCTGTAATGGGAGGGATAGCCTGAGCATGAGCATGTGTGTGGGGGATAGGATTTCATATTGACAAGCTCAGTGGGATTGTTGGATGAGAAGAGAGGAATGGGATCCCCCATCAGGGACCAGGTCGGGCCATCATCATGCTGCATGGGGCTGTCACTGGACCTCTGCTCTGTGAACTATGGACACTATTCATTTGACAGACATCTGAAAAAGAGATAAACCACCTAAAACGTCTCTGTGTGTGTCAAAAAGATGATACCAAGCCATCAGAATTCAAGAGTCTTTTCATTTTAGTTGATTTTTAAATGTTTTATCTCCTGGTCAGAAAAAAGTTGTGTTTGATTATTTGATCTATTCCAAAGCTTAAACTCAGAGTGTGATTTTGAAGCAGGAAAAAAGTTAACTCGACTGATTTGTACACAAGTATCAGGATGCACATGAAACCACATAAAGACGCCTTGATATGGGAGACATTAGTTTGAATGAATATTGCATTCTTTTTAAACACAGGGAACAATATGCTCTAACTGTGTGTATGTGTGTTTATGTCTGCGTGCGTGTGTGTAAGGGTGGACCATGTTAGCCTGTCTGATGGTTGAATGCATGGCTGCCTCTTCACGCTGCTTACAAGGAGGGAGGGAGAGGAGGATGGAGAGGAAGAGAGGGAGAGAGGAGTAAGTAACCGCACAGACATGAATTATAGGGATGGACGGAGAGCAGAGAGGAAAAAAAGCCGGATGGATGAATGGCTAAGATGGAGACATAAGAGAAAGAGTTAAAGCATTAATGGAGGCTGATGATAATTGAACACATGGCTTTAGTTTGTGCTAAAGGATTCCCACAGCATTGTCTCCTCTTTATGTGCTTGCTTTTACTTTGAAGAGTTAATCTCTGTCTTGTCTTTGCTCAGACTTACTCTAAGTGAAAGTATCTTTCTGTGGAGACATTTTCAGAGGCTTTCAGAGGGAACTGTCGTGGCCAAAATGACTGATGTAATTAATTAGAGTGTGTTTTCTGTTGCTTTAATGACTAATGACTGATTTATGTACGTGTGCCAGTGTGGGTTTGTGTTTAAGAGCAGCTGAGTGCTCCTGAATGCCCCTGGTCGTGCTGCTAATGTGTTAATTCATTACCTCTTGTAGCCAGTTGCATTGTGTCAGAGCCGTGTTTCCCCGTCTCTCCCTGTCTGTGTCCTCTCCGCTTCATAAAAGCCGATTATCCGGCATGTCGCTGCCGTTCCACTCGCTCTCTCCTGCCTCTTGACCTCCTCACCCCTCCTGTTGCCTGCCTGCAGGGCCCTCAGGCCGGGGGGAGGAGGGAAGGGAGGGGACAGAGTGGACCAGCTGCCATCAGCCATAGTGCTGTGGAGCCTGGCAGAGGGAGACACTCCAGCCCCCTGCTTCGCTGGGCCTTCTGGCCCCTCAGGGTGGAGAGGTGGTGGTGGGGGGCACCAGCTAGCCTCGTGCCACCAGCCCCACCTGTCTGGCCCCAGGCGCAGTAGTGTGAACAATTAGACACACGCACACAGATATACATGACCACATATGTATTTTATTGCTGGATGACCCTAAAAATGTCAACTCA